TTCTCTGTTCTCTGTTGTTAACTGATTTCTCTGAATGACATTGGACACATAGCATTGAGGATACATTTCGTACATAGTACAGTATATTGTTACAAATTACGAAACACCTGACACCTGATGATGAGCTGAATAATGTTTTTAAAACCCTTTGTTTTTATTTTAAAAGGGGCCCATTCATGTTTTTTTTAAATAAAGTAATGCATATTCGAATAAAATAATAATAAATATTAATATTAATTATTAAAACTACTAATAATAAATTACTAGGATTGCTGAGTTTGGCTCAATGAGGCATAATAACAGTTACTGAGCTACCCTGTGTCTTTCAGAGTAGTATGCAGAGGAGTGTGTAAAGGCTAACCTAATCTTGTTTCTTGTGTTAGTCATTTATAGTCATTTACATTCAGTTATTCATTTTCCAAAATACCAAATGTTCAGAAATCAATGAGGTTTTCAAATGCACAAGGCAAAACAGATGAAGTGAAAATGACAGCCTTTGAGTTCTTGGCTTAATCAGATGAGAGCACCAGGTATCTTACTGCCAGCAAATCACTCAGTGATCCAGTGGTGACAGAGACCTGGGATGAGGGGAGACAGGAAAAAAAAGTGTGGAGTAGAACTCCAGGGACTAAAGGAGAGAGGAAAAGCAGAGAGAGTGTTTAGTAATGCAGTACAAGGCTGGTGAGTCACAGGGCGTTTTGGCAAGAAAACTGTGTGACAAAGTGATGAACAGCACCTGCTGCTGTGAACACCTGCATCAGTGAGAATGTCATACACTGTTCAAGACCAAAGCCTGCAGATGTTCCTCGTTTCTGGATTGAACTTGGTTCAAAACAAATCATTCTGTTCAGGCCTGATAGCATAAGTGGTTTGCATTGTACGGCCTTGTAGCAATTAATTATGAATTTTGTGAATATATTTTCTTATAATAAGGTTAGGAAGGAGATGTGACAAAAATATTTCTGTATATAGACTTCATGAAAAGCACATATACAGTATAAAGAAATATATTACTTATCATCACCAATTTGTTATCTGTGATTTGAAACAGAAGGAGATGGATGCTGAAAAAATTAACGAGTGTTATTTTTGAGGCCTTGTTTGGCACATCCAATTTTGATGTCATTTTTGTTTTAGGAGAAGAAAGATATTTATTTTGTAAGAATTCCTCATGAAGAAACAGCAGTATCGAATTGCATGTCATGCATGGATAATCAAATCTCCCAAGCTTTTGAAAACAGATTTTTACAGCTGTATGAGGAACTGCATCTAGATGTGTTGAAATGGAAAATGCTGCCCTCTGCTGTCCATTTTCCTAGGGTTGTACTTTCTGTGAAAGAGTAAATTCACAGAAAAGACTTATTAGTAGTATTTTGAAAAACAGAAGAATGTGTATGAAATAGGGTGCTATGTGAGCTGTGTGCTTTATGTTTCTAGCATCTCCAGCCATGAGGGGCTCTACCCCACTAGATGTGGCTGCAGCCTCAGTGATGGACAATAATGGACTGGCCCTGGCACTAGAGGAACCAGACCTGGACAAGGTCTTAATACCCCAATGTTCTTATATACTTTAGATAAAACTGTCAAAAGGTGTAGGTGTGAACACTATGTGTGAAGTGTTACATATTGTCAGGTTCTTAATGTCATCTGATAATGATGTTCAGGGACATACAGTACAGTAAGCTTCCCCATTGCATAGCTTTGTAATCCACTCCATAAGAGCTACAGGCTCCTGTATACTTTAGGTCAACTCAGGTATCTCTGTGGAGGTATCATGAAATCATTACAATATTTTTATATTGTACTACAGAGTAGATAACCAGAAATGGATTGTTATGTAAGGGGATTTGTTTTATGTTTGGTATATATTATATATTTATTATTTCAGAGTTAACAAAGTTCTAGTTAGCAGCATGAATACAAATTAAAACTTAGTTGTTATGTTGTCAATCAGTTTCATGATTGTACAGATCCTGTTTAACACCACAGAATTTTAATACAGGGGAAATTTAGCAGAATTACTGGAATAATGCTATACTGACCCAAAACACATCGCCAGGAAGTATTGAGCTATGTTTTTAGCTTAAATTAAAGTAGTTTCAGGAAAGGTAAGCTTTAAAATAAGTCATACCTAAAAGCAGTAGAATATAAAAGAAGCAGGATGATATAATTGTCTATAGTATAAATTTATGATTATACTACAGTATATACTGTAAATGTTTCCTAGTGTAAGGTACTGAAAAGGAAATATATGTACTCTGGTGCTTCGATAAACATTGGAAGAAATACCAACAAAAGGAAAAACATAAAACGTTTATTAGTGGTATTAGTTTGACTGCACAGCGTCCCTCTTGTAAGTGACTAAGATTTGAAGCAGTGTTTCTGTTTTGGCAGGTTGTAACATACTTGGCTGCCTGTGGCCTCCAGAGCTGCCCCATGCTGTTGGCTAAAGGATACCCAGACATCGGGTGGAATCCCATTGAGGGCGAGCGATATCTATCTTTCCTTCGTTTCGCAGTCTTTGTCAATGGTATGTTTTGTTAAATGAATGTTTGAATGTTAACAAAAAGCACATGATCCAAATTAAGAGAGCAGATCACTGTCTTGTGAAATGGGAAAACAAGGCCTGGGACTGGATGCAGTTTACGTAAAAAACAGCCTCTCTTGCACTTGTCTGTAAGAATCTGTGGTGGCATACACGGGTCTCATACATTCCTCATGCCATAGGAAATGTGAGAGGAAAGTCTGGCACATCTAAAAAGAGAGTGTCAATCACCTTTTCATACTGAAAGATGTGCATATTGATTAAAATAAGTTTTTCTCTGGCAGCAATGGTCAAGTAAGTTGACAAGTAAGCAATAAAATTAGCATAGGCACATCCGAACAGCTTCCTATGTACCAGAACAAGGTCATCAATATTCACATCATTTGTTTTGCTTTGGTGCAGGATTAGAGTGTGTTTCTGACCACTAGTTACTCTGATGCTGTGAAACCACTGTAACCTGTCTTTTATGCAGTGGTATAGATTAATAGATTCTGGCAGACCCTGACCAGCAAAATGAATGTTTTTATAGTGAACCTAGAAGTATCAATCCACTGCTAATCTGAGAAACACAAATCAAGCACAACCTCTTCCTAAATTCCTGAAGGTTGATTTTACTGCGTGAAAGCTCAAGCACAGGGGAGTCTGTACATAGGTATAATAATTGATAGAGTTTGCAATGGAAATCTCTCTCTACAAAGATCTTTTGATTTGCCTTTTCTGGAAAAAAAAAATTGTCCTCTTTCTTTAGTTGGACAGCGCTTTTTAGAGGTACTTCAAATTATCAATATCCATCCTGCTTTTTTACATTATGATTATTTCATTCTGTCTTTAAGAAATACTATCTTTATCCTTTTTTCACTTGGTATTTTTTTATCATCCATTTACAATAATTGAGTGCTTGGTAAAGACTCTTGTAATAGTGTAGACCTATCTGTTGTTGGGGAATTAAATAGTATAGACTGTTCCTAATCCTTCATTTGAATCTGGTCTCTTTTTATAATCATGATGAAGCACTTCAATCCTTATGAGTTTATAAATTTTAACTCTTGGTGTACTCTATGTACTGCAAATACTTAAAGGGGAACTGCAGTCCCAATTTTGCAGACCAGTTATTACTGTACATTTCGGTAATAAAATAATTTCATTGACAGCATGGAAAAAATTACAAATTTCAAATGACAAAATCCTTGAATACTTCTGAAAGTTCTCTAAGTCACCATACCGTCGCAAACCCCTGGTTTTGCCACAATTAAGAACGAGAGTTCCCATGAATTGTAACGTGGTGAGGCCCTTCCTGCTCGCTAGTCACTGTAAATACTAATACAGTGTGATTAATTAGCAAATAAGTATGGGTTGTGCAGCACATATTTCACTGAAGAAAGTTTCCAAAGTAATTTTAGTTGTTAATTAGTTGTTAGCTACAGTAACTTTGTTTTTTTTGGCAGATCTTGGAGTTAACAAGTAAGTTCCATTTATCAGCAATACCGTCTTGAGCAAGTCGAGAGCAATATTTCTATTGGATTAAAAGAGATGTATTCATAGGTCTGCTTCTTTACAATGTACTGCAACACATCACTGGAAGATTTGTTGCTTCATTCTGAATCACAGAATGTAACACTGTGCATACCTGGAAGAGTTTCTGTGTAAATCTTACTTTTATTGTGGTTTGAAATCCTCTTAACAAGACTGATTCTTTCTTACCCCAAAATATAAAAATAGTGTTGCAGTTCCCCTTTAACTAAAAGACTTGTTTATTGTTCTCACAAAAGAGGCACTCAAGATAGTAGCATTGTCTGTATTCTCAACAGTAAAGGACAGAGTCAGCACTGTAGAGCTCTTCAGATATTTATTCTTAAGTGAAAAGCTCTTGATTAGGATGCAGTAAAAAAAACTTAAGGGAACTTTATAGCTGATGAGCTTATAACCTGTATTTGATTTTTACTGATAGCCTGAGACATGTGTGCAAAACATATCCAGTGCTTATTTATTTGTTCTTAAATTATTCTTATTCTATCACTTTGAAGGATTACAAAAATGTAATCTTTCTAAATATATGGTGTTCTGTAATCCTCTGTACTATATTAGTATCCATATGGTACACAAGAGACGGTGTAGAAATGTTGTACCTTCCACCAGGGTTTATAAAATGGACAACCTGTTATTCACCTGTTGTGACTCAAAGACATAAGTCAAAAAGGGGAGTTATGCTGTAATGATATGATGTTAGAAATTGCGGACATACTATCCAAAGTTTAAGGCTGAACAGTGTTTATTTTCCGGGAACCCTTAGGTGCCACATCCAGGGCTGTCTCCCACTAAAGGTCCTGAAACCATTCAATAATGATAAAGTGGAATACTGAATGAAAACGTTGACCAGGCAGGACAATGTTTAGCTCTGTGAGCTGTGCTGTTGGGATGCTCTTCTGGATGGTTCTTTCTGTCTTGTTTTCCCAAGCTGAAAGCGTTGCGGAGAACTCCAGCGTAGTAGTCAAGCTGCTTATCCGTCGTCCTGAGTGCTTTGGCCCAGGTCTTCGGGGTGAGGGTGGGAATGGCCTCCTGGCAGCCATGAAAGAGGCCATCATGATCTCAGAAAACCCAGCTCTGGATGTTCCCCCTGCACTACAGGGTGTTCACCGTGATGTGTAAGAGGCCTTTAAGTACTTTCAGATTATTTACAGTACCAGCAACATCATTGAAACATCATTGCAAATTAGTTTGACCACAGTACTACTGTATGTATGTGCTTCTGCTACATTGACAAGTGACTTGTAATACGTACAGTAAGTGAATACAGAGACAAAATATGTATTCAACAGTATAATGTGGAAGAGGCACATTAATGTGGATGTACTTAATATTTGATATGATGCTACCAAATCTACTTAAAATGTGTTATTCTCTTAACTACTTGCTAACATAGCAAATATACTAGTATATCATTCTAGATTAATATGTCTTCTGTTACATGTTACATGTATGATTATAGAAACAATAATAAGAACTAAACAAAAAGATCATCTACATGGCAATAGAATTCTAGGTTGAGAACAGTCAACAGCAATTTAGAAAAGGTACAGTACTGTTGTGCTTAATTAATTAGGTAGAGTTTTTTAAATATGTGATAGTGCTTAAGTACACATGCAAATTACGTGACATGATATATTTTGATTTTCAGAAGTTTTCTGATCGTTTTTCAAAGATTGATTTAATTGCAGGCAGCATTCAGAATAATTCATGTTTCCATACTTACTAGGGTGGTTTAGTTAGTACCTTATTGATCTGTGTAAGGATCACTGCTCTTTTTGACTTCTACAGTATCAATGATCTAGACTCTGGTGTAGATGGAAAAATAGTTCACAGGTGACACCAAAATAGGAGAATTAGCAAACACTAAATAAAAAAAAGATCAGACAGCTGGCAGATGTTATTGTTGTACTATAGGTAGATAATATGTCCAATTAGCAGAAACAATGAGCTTTAAATAGAAGATTGTAAACACTTGAGCTAAAGGAAGTTATTTATGAAAATAGATGAGGAAACTATGCACAAAAAAAGCTGTTTATGAATTTTACTTTAGGTATTTAAATCAAAATGAATCTCATATACTGGAAAAGTGTCACAGATCTGTCTTTTAGTGGAAATTCCAAAGTTTAATTTATCTTACTGCCACCTTCCTACCTCTAATAAAACTTAAGATCAGCATTAGCAATGACACTCATTGCTGAGAATGAATTTCAAAATAAAACTACCCACTGTACTTTCAGTATTACAGAATGTAGATATTATTGTGCACTATACTTAGAGGGGCTAAGCTTTTTAAGATATAATCATTATATAGAATTTTAGATACTGTGTGATGAGATGAATACTTTTACTATTTTTAAAAACGTTTTACTAGTAATAGAAAAGTACCAGCATATTGAAACACGTCTCTGTATTTTCTAGATCTGTGGATGGCGAGGAAGAGGAGGAGGTTGTCCATATGGGCAATGCTATAATGTCTTTCTATTCTGCTCTAATCGATTTGCTGGGGCGCTGTGCTCCAGAGATGCATGTAAGTTATGCCTAGAACTGTGAATCACTATAGCATGACATATAGAACATACTGTAGGTCTCCCATTTGACCTTAATTTAAATAGAAGATGGCCAATAATACATGAACCAAATCAGCTGTTGATAATGAATAGAATAATGGTGTTGAATATTATTTTATTGTTATTAATATTTGTCTGCATAATTCAGATATTTTTGTTTGACTAATATAAAAACAGTGTGATTGCTGTTTTCACTTTGCTTTATTTGTTCTGGAAAAGATGGGATCCCATGTAACAAGGCATTCAATCAGATAATAACTAAGTTTTGAGACTTTTATTTTTTCTTCTTCAAGATGTCTTTACATTTTAATGTTAAGTCCAAGCAGCCCTCATAAACATAACGGTGTTCTTTAAAGTTTACCTTAATATGTTTTATGTTCAAGATGAGTAAATTAACTGCAAAAGAAGGGATCAATGCGGCTATAGTAAATCACCATTACTGATTTGTCAAGCATGTTCAAGGTTTAGAGTTAAGACAGGATCTATATCTAAGTGAATATATATTCATGTGACATCCTCTCTTGCAATGTCTAAAACAATCTCATAATGCACTGCCAATGTCATTTGCCAGTGTCCGCACTGTTTCCTCTAAATCTTCATTGATTGTACACTGTGATTTGTGCTTCCTGTCCTATAGCTGATTAACAAAGGGAAAGGTGAAGCTCTCCGAATTAGAGCTATTCTGCGCTCCCTTGTGCCCACAGAGGACCTGGTGGGCATCATCAGCATACCACTAAAAATGCCAACTGTGAATAAAGGTATGACTCAGAGGCTCATAGCACACTGACAGCATCTTTCATTTGCCCTTGACTGCTATCACAAACATTAATGCCTTGGCAGTTCTTAAGATTTCAATGAATATAGAAGTGCTCTAAACCTTAATGATATAGCCACCTACCCGTCAGCGTTCAGGCTGCTCTGAAGAGATCCAAGCTGATTCTTAATTATTTCTTAGGTCAAACAAAATAAATGTTAATCAGTTAATCAGATGTCTATTTCACATTCATCCATTTTTTCATTCCCAAAATCCCTGTAACTGTGCCCCCATGACTCAGTTTCACAGCTACCTGAATTTGTTTTATGACATTTTTGTTTACCACCGGGTTGTTTGCTTTCTGCATACTTGGAGACTGAATTATGCACTTCAGTTACAGCAAGGTGCCGTTCTGTTCACACCTTTATTTTTTTCATTGGTTTGGATTTTCAATAGTTAGCAAAAACAGTTAACACTCCATTAGATATGACTAGTATTTAAATCTAGCCTTTTTAAAAACCTTCAAGTTAGCTCTGCATAAAGTACCTTATATGAAAACATTTAACGATGCCAACATGCAATATTTTTAAGTGCTACAAGTATGTTCTTTCATTTTATGTGTTCGTTGTCAATATAACAAAACCCATCAGTAGTACATTGTTGGTGAAAAAATGTAGTTAAAATAACAAAAATCAAAGAAAATCATACACATTCTTAGGCATCTCGTTTAAATTGAGGCTAACAGTTTCCAGTTAAAAAATGTTGCCATTTTTTTTACTTCACTTCCCATGACATAACATGAACTTCCTGCAATGTTCTTCAGAATTTCTGTGAAACCAGTCAGAGTCTAAAGGTGTTCAGTGTTTTAAACCTGTTTAACCCTTTAGCCCACAGTCATTCTAATTGTTCTTCTCCGTTGCCTCTGTCCCTGCGTCTCTGCTGGCGTATACGTGGCCTCGTCTCCTCAGACGGCACTGTGACGGAGCCGGACATGTCGGCCAGTTTCTGTCCCGATCACAAGGCTCCCATGGTGCTTTTCCTGGACCGCGTTTACGGTATCGAGGACCAAAGTTTTCTGCTCCACCTGCTTGAGGTTGGCTTCCTGCCAGACTTGCGGGCGTCGGCCTCCCTTGACACGGTCAGTGATGAACCTTCTTCTGTGGATGTGTCTTCATTTGTGTTGAAGTAATCAGTCATCGGTGGTGGACTCTCTGTGGAGTCAGCACACAGCCTGACTAAAGCCAGAAGAGCTTATATGTAGTATAACAAACCATATACTGTATATTACCTGACCATTATTTAAGCTGAAAATATAAGAATGGACAAAATGTGTTTTAAAAAAAACAACTACAGAAAAGAAACAAGGCATGAATTATACAGCTTAAAACTGTGCGTTGTTTTACTATTGGACCTATTTCTTTTGTTCTGTGGCTGGTGTCCTCAAGTATTTAGCACTGCTTTGAAGTCTTCATTAGCAATTTTCTAAATATTATATTCTTTTTTTATACTTTATTATACCCCATTTTGTAGTTTGCATATTGCTTTTCAGTCATGTTTTGCTATTCGCAAATTCTCTCTGCTCTGGGAGAATCAAAGAGACACGCTGTGCTCTTTCTGTAGTTTTTTGTCATGTGCATCTGGAATGGAAATAGCAGAATACAGCACAGAAACCACTGACTCCATCCTGTTCCAGTTATGGGGTGCTATTGCATCACATACTGAGCATCTCCTGGATGTTACTTGACTCTCCTTCATAATTCCTAAGCTGCAAGACCCCTGCTAACCTGTAAATGGAGGCTTTTTACAAAGTTCAGTGTTTTGCTAGACTATATAAATATGCAGTACAAAAATGCAAAGCTAAGTCATTATTCCTATGTAGTATACTTGTTCATTATGAGAGTTTAAAAGTGAGTTTAAACTTGATGGCTTTTTCTTTCTCAGTATAAGACGTGTCTACTTGCTCTGTTCCAGGAAGCACTGAGCACTACTGAAACAGCTCTGGCCCTGAATAGGTACATCTGTTCAGCAGTGCTGCCTGTTCTTACACGCTGTGCGTCACAGTTTGAGGGCACAGAGCACTACGCCCCTCTTATAGACTCCACGCTGCACACCATCTACCGCCTTTCCAAAGGCCGCTCACTCACCAAAGCCCAGAGAGATGCCATCGAAGAATGCTTGCTCTCAATTTGTAGGTAAGAATGCTGAAGGGCCACCTAGTGGCACTGTGTGATTCTGCACTTTCAGATGGTTATGAAAGTTTTGCTGTACTACTGTATACAGTACTTATAACTTCCAATATTATAGTTGAGTGTCACTGTGGGGACCTATGTAATATCTTGTATTTGTGGTTTTTATTTCCTTTTATCTTGCATTCAGGATGTTGAATTTTAAGATATTAAAAATATGCAATCTTCTGTGAAATAAGAGGAATGTTCCATTCTTGCATTAAGGACATGCTTGTTTAACACATTAACAAGTTACACTAATGACCATTGAATTTGTTACAAACATTTCTCAAGTGTCCTCTGGACATTTTCAGTGTTTACTTAGCCTTATATTTAATGAAATTGCAATGATTCCACTTAATGGCCATCATGCTGTGTACATTAATTCAAGCCAGAGGCAAAGGGATTATTTGCATCACAAAATATGTGCACATTACCATATCCAGTTGAGGATCCATTGAGTTCTGCACCTTGTAGAATTACAATATGTAATGAGATAAACGTAACCATTAGATGATTACTGGCAACTTTTGATTATGACCTTAAAATTCTGAAGAGCAAAATAAACATTAACAAGGTGTACTACTCTAGTTTGAGTGTCCAATAAAAGCATTTTTTTTCACCTAAGTGGAGTCCCTTTTCATGCATGCAACATAAGCAGTTGTCGGTTTAATTCTATACACAGATACCTGCGCCCATCGATGCTCCAGCAGCTTTTGCGGCGCCTAGTCTTTGATGTTCCTTTGCTGAATGAGTATTGCAAGATGCCTTTAAGGGTAAGTTCACCATTGTCTATTGTATATGAGTATTGTAAAATGTGATGCTTATTTTCATAATTGTGCAGGACTTTCAGAAAGCTTCACGTACTCTTGGTTATATGTGGTTCTCATCCATGCAGTGTACAGTACGGTAAAAAACACATTGTACCTCAACTGAGGAAAGTTTGCTGCTCTTGTCTAGTCATATCAAGAAAGAAGGGCTGGATATTTTGTTTCTGAGTTAGGTTAGCGGTAGGGATGTCTGCAACAACGTAAGGACAAAGAGGTCCTTATTTTGCAGTTTTAATAGTGGTGCTAGAAGAAAAATAATATAAAATGGTAAGTGAAAGTTATCACTTATAACTGCAACAAATTTACAAAGCTATCATGAAAATGCCAAAATATTTTTGTAACAGGAGTACTGACATTCTATTAAATAGATATGACATGGGTAATTTAATTATGCTGATTAACATTTGTCATTAACGGGCTTTTTACCATCCGTGTGACATGCTACTAGAGTGTGTTGCTATTAGAGTGGATAAAGAATGCAAACAGTGGGTTGTGTTTTACATCAGATTGCAAATGTTGTTACATGAGCAGCATGAAGATGTGTATTGTCCTGTTGGAATGTTAAGACAGGATGAGCCCAAAGGAAGGTCAACAGGAAGATCCCAGGACTTGATCTGTGTAGCACTGTGTAGTCAGGTTGTCATCAATCACTATAAGGGGAGTTCTATAGCAAATAGACACAGCTGTCCAGACCATCACACATGGACCTCCCCAATAATCATGATGAAATGTCATGACTCAGGACCTCCCAGATTGTACCCTATTATTGAAAGACTGTGTTTGGCTGTTATGTCTCGACATGTTAGAATTTGCTGACTGTGAGCACCTTAAATAGTGAGTAACAGTGCACACCTGATAAGCAGGGCATATTGGATCGTTTCTGTGTTTTTCTTTTTTTGATTTTCACTAGGCTTGACAATTCAAACGGTTAAATCACTGAAACCCAAAACATGACATGACACCCAAAACACTTAATCAGTAACCAAAATTGTATACTTTATTTTTACAAAAACACGCATGCTTAAATAGAATGATAGCTTTCTTTTGATACTCAGTTTCTGTATTTGATTCAAAGAAAGTTTACCAAAACACTGAATTATTCAATTTCATGTGTATTTGATTTTGTGTGGAGAAAAACACATTGGGTTGTAGCACTTGATATTCAGGAATGTTTTGAGAAAAGAAAAATGAAGAGCACATGGCTATGGAATCCATATGTGATCCCAATGGCCCATAGTAAATAATCTTTCTACTGTAAAGGGAAGTAGGCGGAGTGAGAAACCAGTGGTTAATAATAAGAGACAAACCTTTCTCCTGGAAAATGTTTTTTTTAGATTAAAAAACAAAATAACAAATAAACATTTCCTGCTGAAGTGGTTTACAAGTGACCCATGGCCCTGTCTTCATGAAATCCATGATTTTCATTCAGAATTGCCCTGTGTCACGTCTCTTCAGCCTCCCTGGGCTTGCAGCTCAGGGCTGTGAATGTTTGAATGTGGAAGTGTTTATGACAGCTTTCCGCATCTTCGATTTCTTTTCCCCGCTGGCCCCAGAGAAGGTTGAGTTATGGCCCAGGGCCTGCAGAAACTCAAAATGTCACTCTGTCAGCAGTAGCTCTTGGCTGATCTGCCCCATACATCAGATGTGACCATCATGATGTGTGGCACAGAGTGAGAACAGTGTTCACCACAGGAAAAGACATGTCGGGATCCCAATGTGTGTAACCCCTAAAAAGGCCTCATTTGTTAACTGCCATCTGGACTAGTTCAGGGTACAAATACAAACGATCAAATGAGAAGGCATGGGCTGTCTAAGACTGTGAATGAGGTTTTTTAACAGAAATCCACAATAATATTTAATAGTAAACATGTATAGATTACTACTTCTATATTGTTTAATAGATTTTAATTACATACTATTTTGTGCAAGGATTACCACAGTACTATAATGTGACTGTAAGGCACTTAATGCTCTGTCCGGCACATGTACAGTAGTTTTGTGTTTCATTGATGTGAAACTGTACAAGCTATTAGCATGCAAGTCCCATTAGAAAGCAGGAACTGTCTAAAAGGATTTGATTAAATCAGAAATAAACTGGTTTGGGAATTGCAATTATCCAAACTTCTTCCTAGGCAATGAATAGGACATATTGTCTCGGAAGCATACATGATGGGGAATTGATTTTCTGTTGACATCTTTGTTTGTCAGTACGTTGATATGCACGACTGGTTATCTTGTCTTTTATACAGCTATTAACCAACCATTATGAACAGAGCTGGAAGTACTACTGTCTCCCATCCGGTCTGGGCAGTTACGGCATGGCATCTGAGGAGGAAGTTCTTCTGACAAAAAAGCTCTTCTGGGGAATATTTGAATCTCTTTCTCAAAAGGTATTGCTTCACACATAGTCCTGGCATTACCCGGCTTCCCACTAATCTGAATGATTTGTTACAAGAATATGAACTAAACACCATTGTACTATGACAGTTTAAAATGGATTGGCAAAATAATATATAATAACTGAAATCAGATGCATTATGTGAGAGCGATACTGTATGTTTGCTGTCATTAACATTACTAATCTAACTTTTCTTTTTTTACTTTTACTTTTTGTTTTCTGCATCTTCCAGGGTCTTAACTTTTGTGAAAATACTTGAACTGTATTAATATCCTACCTGTCATTGCATATATTTTTATACAATTGAAGACTAAAATCAAACTTAGAGTTAAAGCACTTGCCTGCAAACAAAATTGAGAAAGTAAACGAAAGAAAAGAAAAGTAAAATACCAAGAATAGTTAAATATTCTAATTAACTATTAACTATTTTGTATTAGCGAGGTCCATGAATACCCAGATCCAGAAAACATTGCAAGTTTCACTATGTGCTCTTATGTTACACACTTTTAAATTAGGAAAGAATATCTTACATATTAATATTTGAGTCATGTATTTGCTTGAAAATATTAATACATTAACCCTGACACCCAAAGACCAAGAAGCACTGCCAAGATAGCAGTAATGACATGGACATTGACTGTGATCTCAAACCCTGACTCTGAAAGCATAGAATAGCAGTTGAAATATACAATATTTTGTGACTCATTCCTTTTTATATGATACCTTGAAAATGATATATAATATATTTTCTGGAATATACTGTATTAAAAGTAGGAAGTTCCATTAGGACTCATATGTTGTAAAAGCATATTCCAATTACAGCAGTGTTTCACACTACTGACTGAAAATATTAGTTCTTGGTTGATTTCTCAAGTATATTGGACCCCTCTTTGATGTAAATTATACTGTTTAGCAGAAAAAGCTTTGGTAAGCAGAACTAATTATGAAAATGACTTGAACATTAATAAAAAGTAGACTGATGGAAAGCCCATTTAAAGATGATCAATCTTCATTAACCACCACCAATGATCCCTATGGAAATAGTCCTGCATCTTCTGCTGTGCTTCTTGCTTTTTCAATGATTTAAGATTCAGCACCTTGATGATGATGGTCCTATTAACTAGATCTGAGCCTTGTGGCTGAATTGTTGCCTGTTACTAACCCTCTGTGTGTGTGTTTCTTTGTTGGGCTACTCCAATCAGTCCCTGTCTCTCCTGCAGAAGTACGATCCTGAACTCTTTAAAATGGCCATGCCTTGCCTCAGTGCTATTTCTGGTGCCCTGCCACCTGATTATGTGGATTCCAGTATAACCACCACATTGGAAAAACAGGCGTCAGTGGATGCCCAGGGCAACTTTGACCCCAAACCTATCAGTACTGCCAAGTAAGTTGCAGGGTTCAATGTATGACAAATTCATTCTAGCAACTCAAGTAATATATTGTATACAGTGGTATGTGCAGGTTAAGGTTAAGGTGGGAGTTATTGTAGATAGCAGCGGTTGTAAAATATTATGGGTTCAGGAACTGGAGCTGTCTTCATACTTTCCAGTCTGCCTTTTTGTGCAAAGTTAAAGTTTGCAGCCATGGACAACTGTTTTGCCTTTATTATGGCTTATACTGTAAGGTTTATTCGTATCACATAAGAAGGAATACCTTTCTTATACGTGCAGATGCGTGCAGTGGTTGCAATGAATAATAGGTAGAAATCATGTTGTGTTTGGAATAGCTAATTAATGTTTGTGCTCATAATATTGTATTTAAATAATGCAAGTGTTAAATGTGATTTTTTATGTAAGTTGTTTTTAATTGTTAAAATCTAAGGGTTCATCATCTCATATTGTTTTCTTTCTTCTTCACCTTTCAAATGGGCGGAGTTTTCTTCAGCTTTTTTACTTTGATGCTACACATTGAAAATATTTACCTCTGTTGTATTAGGTAGAGGATCCAAAGTGCGTTTGATCTTGCATTATTAATATGGAACATTTACAAGGGCTTGTGATAACTGTATGCACACAGCTTCTTCTGACAGCATCAGTGAAACCCTATGGATTTCTAAAGCAGCTAATGTATACAGTGGTGCAGGTGTTACATTTTATCATGTGAAGCCAGTAGGACAGTACTGCAATACCTCACTTAGATGTGTTTTAAAAAGGAGGGCAGTGGGAATCAGCGCTAGTAGAGACAGTTCTATCCTGAGTTCAAGGAAATGTCTTTTGAGGAGCATTATTTCTTACATATAGTGTAAGTGACATACCTGTATGAGGGCTACATTTTGCTTTAGTTATATTCTGTGTTGGGAGGCACAGTGGTAACATGGCTGCATTGCAGCACTGGGGCCCTGGGTTCAGTTCCCTGGGTGATATCTGTGTGGAGTTTGCATGTTCTCCCCAAGTTTGTGTGGGTTTCCTCCCACAGTCCAAAGACATACTGTTACAGTAGATCAATTGGCTTCTGTAAAACTGGCCCTGGTGTACAGTATGTGTGCTGCAGTGGACTAGGTGTATCCTCCTTGCACCCATTGCTATCTGTGTTAGGCTCCAGCTTCCCCTGCAACCCTGTACTGGTAAAGAAGCTTAGAATATAAATGGGTGGATTTTCTGTAGTTCATTTTTGCCACAGAACATAACTAAAATCTATGTAATATATAAAGGAGTTTTATTTTGAAATAACTGTATAGGCACAGAAAGAATTTGCCCCTGCCTTACTTCAACTGATTGTAGCTTTCATAGGTTGACTGTTGACTGTCTTAAATTCTTCAAATTGGCAGCAGTGGTACACTGATGGGACTATGATCTGCCAGGCCTTGTGATACCTAGATGGACCAGGCTTTGTCCCACAGAGTATAAGGAAAATGAACTACTGTAGATCATAGTAGAGCATAGCACACACAGAGAAGCAGGAGAGGAACTACAAGCAGCACTGGCCATACCATACATTAAATATATGTATCACACCCCACTGTAATTTGCTAAGGGCTTGTGCTCAATAACAAAAGACCTCACGTGTAACACAAAAAAAATTGAACCGAGAAATATTGTGGTGTGCTGTAGAATTAGCATGTATTTCTGTTTTTTTCATTATAAAATTGAAATCTAACATCTGCATTTCAGGATACATTGTAGTACAATATTATGAGCAAGACTACAATTCCACTTCTGTATTTATGAAGTTATGTAGTTTATGTTCTGAAAGTGATGTATTTCAAATTTCCCAGTATAAGTGATAATTTGCCATGCAATTTGTAGAGGGTAGGTTTAATAAGACTTTACATCTTGCAGTTAATATTTTACAAATCACCAGGCCAAAGTAAATTGTCTTTTACAAGTTATGTTTTCTGTTCAGTACTATGAATTTAGGCAGTTAACCTTATGTATCATAATGAATCTGGAAGCAATAATTCTGAACTTTTTTTCAGTATTTCCCTTCCAGAAAAATTAGAGTATATTGCCAACAAATATGCTGAGCATTCCCATGATAAATGGGCTTCAGAAAAGGTAAGAGATCATACTGAACTTTAATGTCTTTTTCATCTTCTAAGTCATTTGTGTTAAGATATGAATGTTCCTAAAATGTGTGATTTTGTTTCACACATCATACTGTTTTAAGAATCTTCAGTATAAAACTATTATTTTATTCACCAAATTAGCTGTTTATTATTCTTCGGTATGTTTGTAGTGCAACTGACATTTACGCACTATCCAAACATCTGTCACAACACTTGTCCTGAACTGAAAATTTCTGTCTTTTGGTTATCTAGAACAAATAATTTATATGATGCTGTTTTTCTCAGGCAGAAAATATGCTTTAACTTTCTTGCTGTGTTTTTTTTCTCTCATCAGTTGCCAAGTGGTTGGAAATATGGGGAGACCTTAGATGAGAAACTGAAGACTCATCCTTTGCTGAGGCCTTACAAGTCATTAACGGAGAAGGTACTGTAACAGGAGCATCAGTCAAGAAGATAACTACACACTATTGAAAAAACAATAAATCTGCTTTTCGTTATATAACAAACAAAATGCCTGATTTGAAACGTGTAAATAAAGTTTGTGTTGTGAGCTTATAGCATTGTATACTTTTTAAGAAAGAAAACATTCTATGCTCAGGGAGAATAACTATGATTCTAGAGAACCACAATCTAGCACTTAATAAATCTTCCATAAATCAATTTCTAAACACTTGGAAAAAAGTTTCAGAAGCGTAAAATGAATTATTCATTTAAACTGTTGAGAGAATTCCTATTGTTCTATAATTCTTAAGAATGACAGCTGACAGTTCCAGAATTTTAAGAACAAACTTAATGAATTGATTAAAACTCAATTGTTCTAAATTTTTAGAATTTTATTATTTATACTGTAGGTGACCTGAAGAAACTACTGGACAGAGGCTGTATTGGACTTCTGTACTTTGACCACAGAATATGCTTTTAGAATAGATTTACAAATTAAATGTGTACTGTATCAGTCTATGCACAAATAGAGATATTGTATCTGTGTGTCTTTTGTCTCAAGGAGAGAGAGATTTATCGCTGGCCTGTTAAGGAGTCAATTAAAAGCATGCTGGCCATGGGCTGGAATATCGAGAGAACCAAAGAGGGTGAAGTCATGTTTCAGCAAAGGGAAAGTGAAAAACTGCGAAAGATATCTCAGTCTTCACAGGTATCCAACTCTATCGCAAGTAAACGGTGGCTGCCCACTGCAAATTTGGTAGATACATCTTTTGGATAAGCAAATGTACAGTAGTTGATACCAAAGGAGCTTTCATGAAGTGATCAGTAGTGAATGCAATCACAATATTTTTATTTTTTCCTTTTCAATGTACAGTATTTTACCCCTAAAAGTTTACGTTTTGAGCTTTCAAGTCGTGATTTAAAATCCACACTTTAAATTGTCTGTAGCATTACAATGTGGCCACACAGTGGCGACACTGATCTTTACATAAAGCTGTGAAGTACTGTGTATTGTATTGTGGCTTTGCCCCCAGAAAATGAAATGATGCATCATAATCTTAGTGTTTTTATTTTAAAAAACTCTTAAAGCAAAAACGGATTGAATCAAACACATAAATTGTATGATGCAGTTCATTCTGTTCAACAATACATGTCTCCAGGGTGCCTTGTATTGGTTGTAATTTATGACTTGCTACTTCTCAACAGGGAAATGGTTACAGCCCATGTCCAGTTGACATGACCAATGTTGTTCTGTCCAGAGAGCTTCAGGTTAGTAAAATGTTTAGACTTCTTAAAATGACAATATTTTTCTTTTATTATAAGTTACCGAATGTAGAAACAAACTTCCTAACAGTTGTTTTTATTGTAACTAGTGGAGATCTGTGCAATTTTCATTGAGATGTGTTTATAAACTCAGGTTTGTGTGGTGTTTGTGTTGGGATGTTTTAGTTAGTTTTGCTTTGAAACTTTTCATTATGTTCTTTGATGGACTAGAAACCCAACAAGGAGAGGATAATCATGTGCTCTCAGTACCACCTCCCAGCTCCTAGTATAGGCTTCTGCTGTCCACGATCCCCACAAGGTTCAGTGTCTCTAATAGTGGATGGGTGGAACTTTTATTCTGTATTTATGTAGGAAGTAATATCCCTTAATGTTACACACTGTAGTAGATTCTGTTTATTTGGAGGTTATTTAATTTTGTTTTCATTTAGGCAATGGTAGAGGTTGTGGCAGAAAACTACCATAATATATGGGCTAAAAAGAAGAAAATTGAATTGGGAAGCAGAGGTAAGTGATTCCATTAGAAGTTTGACAAGAATATTTTATGTATTGCTGTAGTGTAATTTCTTTGCCATAAAATTTTGTTTTTTTCAACTTTGTTTAGAACACAAGGGCTATTAAAATAGGGATTTACTGGCTAAGATGATTTTCCTAAATTTACTAGTTGAACAGCTTCAAATATAAGAAGTTGATCATCTGGCACAGATTTGTTCTGTTATCCCATCTGCTTTTTAAATCAAACTAAACAGCTGAAACATGCCCATTCGAACCATCTGACAACAAATTATTGCCAGTGCAAAAATAATTTCTTAAAAGCGTTATTAAGCCTAAACGTTTTGAATGAACGGTGTGAAGTCCTATGGTAAGGTGTTTGTCTAATAAACATGAGAGGCGCAGTCTGGTGGCCGTCAGTATCTTAATCTGTTTTAATCCTTTGTTCTTCAGAGCAGACTCAGCTGACGCACTGCGTACTTGACTTACCACAGAAAATATGAAGTACACAAATCCTGTACTTTGGAGAATTAAAATCACACCAATAGGCTTTGCTTTTCTGATAGATATTTTTTTACAAAAGGTCTGTAACCTGTCTTTGTAGTACTACCCTCTTATAAAACCTGTGATTCCCCTCTCAGGTGGTGGGGGTCATCCATTGCTGGTACCTTATGATACCTTAACTGCCAAGGAGAAGGCAAGGGACAGAGAGAAGGCCCAGGAACTGTTCAGATTCCTCCAGATTAATGGTTATGCCATTACAAGGTGACACTTCCTTCACATCACCGATTACCTCACACAACAGTGCTGTGCAAAAAACTTGTACATACAGTACAAAGCTGTGTGGATCATTTACTGTATATTGTTTTACTTCATTATAGTTTTAAATAGTTAAAACAAATCCTTTTTGTTGCAAAAATGAACAGCTATAAAAACAAATAGCACTAGAATTTTTATTCTTACACAATTATTATATACAGTACACATATTTAGGATTAAGACATTAATACCTATGTTTGGAAGAACAGTATTGTGTACATCAAAGGCAAAATAAGTGGGGTTAACACTTTGTGATACTTTTTTGGAAAGTGATGATAAAAACCCTGCAGGCTCTAAGGGACTGTAGACTGTAGAGTGTTCTTGACAGAACGTGTTAGGTGTTTAGTGGGATAGTTTAACAGGGAACATTTAGGGACAGCCCTCACTGGGTCTTTGGAATTTGTGTCTGGATATTGACTCTGTAAATGTGAAAACTAGCAGCAGTACAGAAATGCAGAAGGCCCTCTTGGAGAGTTTCATCATGGACTACCAACTGTTAACATGAGACATGAATCACACTTCACACCAAGGAATATTGATTTGTTTTAGCCATATTACACACCTCATGGAGCTCAATATCCCTGTCCTGTTCAGATTCCAGAATAAGAGTTGTGCTTTAGGATGATTTGTCACAGCATTTGGTCATATTTCTTCCTCACTTACAGAGACCCATAGTCTGTATTGCTATAGAATAATGTCTGAAATATTCATGGATAAATGATGACAGATTAATTAGTCTACCTTATGTGATCAATTGTGATGCGAGAATAATCTAGCAGCCTAAATAAATAATCTAGGAGCATTAAATAATAATGTCACTGCCCACATTTTTTTTTATTGATGTGGCATTTATGGAGTAGGTATTAATATAACTTTTTATTTTTTCATCTTGTTTCACATGAAGAGGTTTAAAGGATATGGAGCAGGATGCCTCTTCAATGGAAAAAAGATTTGCATATAAATTCTTGAAGAAGCTACTGAAATACGTCGATTCGGCTCAGGAATTTATAGCTCACTTGGGTAAGTGCCAGGGTTACTGCTTACCATAGATGTATTACCTTCCCTTGTTGTAGGCTTTTCCCACCGATAGATAAGGCTTTCAACATGGAAAAAATGACCACATATTCCCTGCTGAAGAACTGAAAAATTATTCATGGTATTATAAAAGTAAAATAGCTACATTTCACTCAAAAATATTTCATAGATTTTCTTATGAGCCCCTTTTCCAAGTCTCTTATAAGTGATAGCAAAAATATATTACAGTGGCAGAAAGATGTATCTGACTTAATAAATGTGCAGAGTGCCTCCAAGTGCTTTGTCTTCATTTTATCTCCTTTTGCTTCTAGGAATTCTCTGCTCAACTAACCCTATTTTCTTTCCTTATAAGAATATCAGATGTAATGATTGAAGGATTAGTCAAGTAGTGTGGACGTACATTGTGAATGATTATTGGTCACAAATCCTGTTTTTTTTCTTGCGAATGGTTTTTGTCAGTTCATTTTACCTGCTGGTCTGATGAATTATTTGGCTTGGGTGATCATTGTGGTGTGGTGCAGTGCATCACTTACTTGAATGCGTCTTTTACAGAGGCTATGGTTAGCAGTGGTAAAGCTGACAAATCACCACACGAGCAAGAAATCAAGTTTTTTGCCAAGGTATGATTTTTTCTCTCTAGCATTGAACAATTTAATCTTGCGAGCAATTTCAGTCTATGCACCATAGACTTCTTTTGGAAGAAAAATGTGTTTGATTCATGTTTGATTATTAATGTTTTATAGATGTATGGTATGTTGCTGTTTTGCCAAGTCTTTGTTTAGCACTGTGCTGTACTTGGCAAGCCTTCACATTTTGTGTAATCTCAGTTCATACCATATTTGCTGGAATGTATTCAACTTCATCCAGGTCTCTGAAGTATTCGTTTTAAGATGATCTCCCCTCTTGATTTTCTTTTGTCCAGGATTTTGCACTTATTCTAGCTTTGCTTTTTTGTGATCTTGAAACCTGAAACTTTGTTAGTTTGTTCTAAATTTAAAGTTAGTTGCTGACTCATGTCAAAGGCATGCTTTCAAAAAGAGACTCTATATTATTCCTGTTATGCATTTTAGAAAGCAGTTGTCTTCATCAAATGGAATTAGTTCCTCCAAATTGAAAATTATTCATTCTTTCTTTTGTTTTACTGTGTCATGTTGCCCTTGTTTAACTAAAATTTGTTTCTTCTTTGTTCCTTTTTTGCACGATAGATACTGCTAGGTATCAGTTCAGCAATAATATTATATCTCGTAACAATAATATTATTCCTTTTTATACGGTATTTGACTTTATAATTAATTCTAGCATTAATGTTGTAGGGCTTTGACAAAATTAAAAAAATGTTTAAAATGTTTAAAACAACAGAAATGTTTTAATTTTACTCTTGATATTTTGGAATTAATTTAAGGGTATCAAATTAAATTGTATTTTCAATTAATGCATAACTTAATAATGTTTCTCTTTAGCCGTCTTCACTTTTGTCAAAACATAATATACTAACCCTGCTGTTTTTGCACTCGTGATGTCAGACATTATTTATTTCATTAAACCTTCAGAAATTCATTCTGTACCCACCTTTATTTTTCCCTTTTAACATCCTTAGGTTCTTCTTCCGCTGATAGACCAATACTTCAAGAATCATTCTCTGTACTTCCTGTCATCTCCCATTAAGACCCTGAGCAGCAGTGGCTATGCTTCCAACAAGGAAAAGGAAATGGTGACCAGGTACTACTCCCTTTAGCAAGTTAGCACAGTTTCCTGCTATCCACTCTCATCATGGGGCTGTGAAGCAGCATTATCCTTCTCAATTAAGGAACCATCTGGACAAATACATTGTTGTGTATAGAGATGTGTGAAAAAAATACATATGAAAAAAGGCAGCAGAAGACTCAGAGTCATAAGGATTTGCACTTTCCTTAAGTTTCAGCTATGATAAATCCACATATTATAATATTCAATTAGTCTTACTGCATTTTACACTTTTCATTTAACACTTAGTCTTAGGCTTGTTCAAATAAAAAGTAACCATATCCACCAAAAACTATTTTTGTGGTTTTGCAGACCATGATTAGAGCTACAGTACTTTCATTACAGTTTAGTTTACAGATGTGTGTTAGGGTGTAACCTTTCCTGGGACTTGCCAAGCTAAACTTTATCTTTTTCTTTTGCCTTTTCCCTTCTTTGACCTTATCTTTTCACTGTTGTCTTTCTCCTCTCTCCTACATTTTTTCAGCCTGTTCTGTAAACTGGCAGCTCTTGTCAGGCACAGGATTTCTCTCTTTGGTAAGAAGATGGCAGCATATATCAACTGACACCTAGAGTATCATCACTATTACGTTGTTTAAATATTTTGTATATTGTTAAAAATGCAAATGACATATTGATAAGAAAAACTTTAAATATGAGATATACGATATACTGTAAATGAAAAATAAAATTATTGATATGTGGAGTTCCACTGAAGGGACATCAGTTTATTCCCCATTTTTCTTTGCTGGTAGTTAATTTTGGTCAATATTTTTTAGTCATGACCATATAAGTATTAGAATTACTCAGCTGTAATTGTGTGCACAGGTCATCCCCTAGGACCAAGTATTAAATGCCTGTATTGAATATTTTCACTAAAATATATCAGTTATGATAGATACTGTAACTTATAAGGGGAAGTGACAATTTTTACCTTAGTGTAATTTTTCTGAAAATCTTGAAAGGGTCGTGTGGTTCACTATAAAACAGTTCAGTGTCAACTTTTGGCTCCTGTTTAATATGGTTAAGATGACATAATTTAGACACAATGGAACATTTTGTCATTTTAAAGGAAGTGACTCTGCTACAATGGTGAGCTGTCTGCACATCCTGGCACGAACCCTTGATACCAGGTATGTTTCTGGGTATAATTAATTTTTACATACAGTGAGCATCTTAGCCTTAAAGTAGCTGTAAGAACACAACAACAATAATGATACCAGCTGATTACATACTGTGGCATTTCCTTCATCCTTACCTCAACAAGACAACTTTAAAGCTCTTTATTTTAGTCTGGAAATGTATCCAATTTTAATTAATTTATTCCTGAACCTAAACCCTTCTTTCTAGTCGAGTAAAATTGGAAAAAATGAACAGCTTTACTTTCCTTTGATAGCCGTTTTTCTTAACTTCCTCTTGGGAGATTTTGCCAATTTGAGTTGTATTTTATTTTTTATGACTCAGGCTGTTTACTCATAAATTAGTGTGTTCTACCACACAATTCTTTATCGGAGGCTACATATCCTACATGCTCTGCTTCACTAAGTACTGCTGCTCAATCAATAGAGATTTAAGAACCTAAAACCGTGAAGTATCGATAGAGCTTTAGTAATGCAAGGCATCATGACGCTGACATGATATGGCATACACAGTATTTCTTATGATTTGAATCTATACATTGATCAGCTGGCTATACTACAGTACTTGAAGAAGAATGCAGAACAATGGATCAACAGGTCTGAACTTCATCACCAGTATGCTTTAGACAATATTAATTTGTCATAAAATTGTAAAATCAGTCTTGGTTGGTTGCCTGTATTGTACAATTTATTTTTTAAATATTTGAACAGAACTGTGATGAAATCAGGGTCAGAGCTTGTGAAAGCTGGGCTTCGAACCTTCTTTGAGAGTGCAGCTGAAGATCTGGAGAAAACCCTGGAGAATCTGAAACTGGGGAAATTCACCCACTCCAGAACCCAGATGAAAGGAGTTTCTCAGAACATCAACTACACCACTGTAGCCCTCTTACCCATCCTCACATCACTCTTTGAGCATATCACACAGCACCACTTTGGCATTGATCTCATTTGTAAGTACTTCTGTTCTACCGTTTTCACTAATATCAAAATTTAAAATAACATCTATTATGTGTAGCAGTGATAGTCACTCCTTGTCTTGAAATGTCACAGTTCTGCAGGTTTCAATGGTACCCTAAATGTACTGTAAATTATTTAAAAAATGGCAACATGACTTAGAATTAGAATACACTTCTTACATAACGTGAAGTACAGAACTACACTGAAAGAGAAACTCCCTAGAAAGAGAATATAAAAATGATGCCTTACATTTGCTTTTCCTAATTTAACATTCTTTTCAGTGGATGATGTTCAGGTCTCCTGCTACCGTATCCTGTGCAGTCTTTACTCCCTGGGGACAGGAAAGAACATCTACGTTGAGAGGTATTTGATTGTTGTAGCAAAAATATATAAAAGACCTCTGGATTGGGGTTGTGAATTTTTATACAGTACAGCACTGTGAATCCTCTGTATTTGGACAGAAATCTCTTTACATTAGCATACTAAACTCAAGAAAGGTTACAAACAAGAGGAGCCTGTTTGGCCCATGTAGCCTGTTTGGTACCTAATAGCCAAGTGATCCAAGGATCTCATTGAGCCATTTCTTGAAAGAAGCCAGGGTATTGACTTCAACAGCATGGCTGGGCAGCTTGTTCCTTACTTCTAAAACCCTTACTGACATGTAAGTTATAAACCAGTTTGTTGGTATCAAGGAAAAGTCATTTAGGGAAAATAAAGGTTTTGGTAAGAGATTGGGATCAGGCGGGTTTTCTGGTTCTTCCTGATTCTGTTGTTCTGGTCCTGCAGGCAGCGACCAGCCCTGGGAGAGTGTTTGGCCACCCTGGCAGGAGCCATGCCCGTGGCTTTCCTGGAGCCTCACCTCAACATGCACAACCCTCACTCCGTCTTCAACACCAAGTCTCCGCGGGAGAGAGCCAGTATGTGGGGCAGGAATTGGTTTACTCCAAAACATACTTTCCAATACTGAGTTACTTAGTCCACAGACAAACAATATATAAATACGGTATAAAGCATTATAGTCATACTTAAAAACATTTTCTCAGTACTATTATTCTGTTAACTAGCCTTATCCGATTAAGAAGACAGGGCTTGTTTGTAGATACATATTTACTTTCCATACCTGATTCCAAGCATAGTACAGGGTAGCACTGGAGCTGCAACTGACATGGCAAGAGTGACCATTTTCTTTTCACAAGAAGATCAGGGATAAGCCAGGGACCATTTAAAGTAGACAGTTAGATCTATATTGCATGTTTTTGGAAGAAGTGAGGAAAATTGGAGAAAATCCATAGGAAAACGGGGAGGACGCGTGTTTAGCTATGAGAGGAACCATGACACTTAGACACCCAGGTGTCCAAAGCTGGAATTAAGCCCAGCACTATGGAGCTGAGGCGCAGCAGTGCTAACTCACATTTCACTGTCTTGCTCTTATACCTTGTTTTATAAGAAATGTAATACTTAAAATAGTTTAGCTGCTGAATGTTGTATCAGATCGTTTGTCTTAAGTAGATTTACATTGAGCTTCTTTTTTCATAATCTGAAAATCATCTAAGCTAATGTTTGCTTTAAGCATTGAATGAAAGAATAAATGATAGAAAAAAAACACACATTAGCTTTCTTTTCAGTTGTGGCCTTTTGAGTTGTGGCCCTTTGTATGTAATATGCTGATTTGCAAACAGTTCTAGGGATGCCTGATACCGTTGAGGAAATGTGTCCTGAAATGCCACGCTTGGATGGGTTAATGAAGGACATAAACGATATGGCAGAGTCCGGTGCCCGCTACACTGAAATGCCCCATGTCATCGAGGTCATTCTGCCCATGCTGTGTAACTACCTGTCATACTGGTGGGAGAGAGGCACAGAGAATACTGAGAGCAGCAGCCCCTGCTGTACCATGGTCACCTCAGAACACCTCAGCATCATCCTTGGAAACATCCTGAAAATCTTAAATAACAACCTGGGAATTGACGAGGCATCTTGGATGAAGAGGATCGCTGGTGGGTTGTGAATGAGCATGTCTTGGTTCTTAGTTGATTTATTTTCAGGACAGTTTGCTACAAAGACCTTTATACAGTTATGCTTTATATGCTACAGTATTTACAATAATGGTTATTGCTTCATTATAACATTGTACCTCAGTGGCCTGCAGTGATATTTCAGTGTCTTTATAAGTTTATGGAATTGCTGTAATTGTGATTAAGACCCAATGTGCAGGACCTAAAATATGGATTATGACGCATAGCGGCTTTAGCATGTCAATTTGTTAAAGTAAAATATGATAAACTTATGTTAATGAGCTTTATGAAAACATCTGTGTTGTTTTGCAGTGTATGCACAGCCCATCATTAGTAAGGCCAGAGCAGACCTGCTAAAGACGCACTTCCTGCCCACACTGGAGAAACTAAAGAAGAAGACGGTGAAAGTGGTGGCAGAGGAGGAGATGCTGAAGGCTGACAGCAAAGGAGACACGCAGGAGGCTGAGCTGCTCATTCTGGATGAGTTTGCCGTACTCTGCAGGGATCTCTATAGCTTTTACCCCATGCTGATACGTTATGTGGATAACAACAGGTACTCAACCACTGCTCTGTTTCATAAATTCTTGACTACAAGACCTTTTGTTCCCAAAATGCCATAACCCAAATCACCATGTTGGCTTAATATATATCCTCATCTGACCTTGTCCACAAAAGTACAACAAGATGATTCCAGTCTGGGATTTAGATGTTTACTATTCTCTGTTTTAAACTATCAGGAGAATTTCAGGTGAGCAAAGTGGTATCAAAGTGCTTTTTTCAAGTAAGAATTGAAGCTCTGAATAGGGAAGGAAATGATTGACAATTAAACACAAAAAGCACAGATAATTTCTTGTCTGGACAGTCAAGTGGCTATTATTGCATCTGTTATGCATAAATACAAATAAATGTTGAACAGCTACATCTTAGAGTTATTCTGTATTATTTCTTAACTGAATTTCAGGTAACATTGACTTTGTGTTTTATTCCAAAAGGTCCCGCTGGTTGAAAGAGCCTGATGCTGATTCTAATGAGCTCTTCAGGATGGTCGCTGAAATATTCATCCTTTGGTGTAAATCACATGTAAGAGTGTTTTCATTGAAATAAAAGAGGTTTGTTAATGTTGATGATGAAATCAACTAGAATATAAGGCTGGTTCAATTAAAAACAGGGGTTTAATGTCAGAGAAGGCCATGGCTTTCTTTCCAATGCAGTTTTAAATAATGCACTTTTACTTAATCAGTTAACCAGTTGACACTGTAGTCAATGGCTGTCAGATTACCCTGATAATCTTATTTGCTCTTCTAGTATAATTACTAGTTATAATTTTGGATAATATTGCTTAGGCTAACTGTATGTTAGAATATCTCACACAGATCACATAAGTATGTGATTGTTGTTTTTAAGGCCTGTAAACTGTTATAATACAATACAAATATTTGCAATTTTATTATGTAAGAGTATCAGAGGTGGAAATCCCACTTCTTGAAGGTGAGGATCCAGAAGGATTTTCAGGGCTCTTTAAATTATCAATAGCTGCAGACCTTTGATAAATGTTAAACTGATCCCATTATGCTTATTATGCTTAATGATAATTATATCATATTAAGAGCAGAGGAGAACTTTCAGACACTGTGTCCATCCCTCATAATGCAATGGAGTTGTGTCCCACTGAAATGATAAATTGTCTTGATCAACTTTCAGCTCATATTTCCTGCTTAAATTAACATAGTTTCATAAACCGTATTAATCAAAAAATGAATTTGATGCTATAGTCTCAAGCCCAGTTCATTGGAACATACATATGATGTTATTGTTCATATGCCATGATTTGGTCACTACACGTTTTGATACTGCGTAAATGTGGTTTGGTCCAGTATCGAGTTACAGCTAGTGGTCTGCAAGGACTTTGATAAGGTTGCTCCTTGTGTGCGCTTCACCTCTGAGACAAGGAGGTAACACTTCAAACACTGACTTGTAAGGCAACGGTTTTCGAAGTCACATTGTTTGTACAGCACAGATCAATGCTCCTTTTATATATCAAAAAGCAGCATGTATACAGTAGGTAGTGGATGACAGAAAGTCGATTTACATTGGGTTTCTTTGCTTTTCACAGAACTTTAAGAGAGAAGAGCAAAATTTTGTGGTTCAAAATGAAATCAACAACCTGTCCTTCCTAACAGGAGAAAACAAGACCAAGATGTCTAAGGTGAGCCATGATAATGTTATACTTGTTTTTTGAAGTGGGGATCCATGTTAATCTATATCACACATACCTGTTCATTCACAGGAATTGTACCTGAACCAGAGAGATCTTCATTGCATTGAGTACAGTAGCTTTATAAATACTATGGTAATTTCAATGCAATGTCTTCAATAGTACTTAGTGATCTCTTTCTGGTTATACTAATGAGGCATTTCTGAAGTAAGTACTCTAGTAATTGTAATAATACATTTCTACTAAACAAAAATGTAGTACATTTACAGTTATAGCATCCTTTTACTCTTACGAAATTAATCTTATGGATGCTTTACAAAACTGTTTATTAGTCCTTTTACAGAATTACATTTGCCGTAATTCATGGAACGCTACGATAGTTGAATGCTGTGTTGATTGTGTCTTGTAGTTGTTTTTTATTGCATAATTACATTTTCATTGTTTTCTCTTTTATACAGTCCATGCACTTAAAGGTACAGGTCAGAATGCATGTGTACTGTACTTGTAGCAAGCCTTTTTTTATCTGCCTGGCAGCAAGCAGAAGAATGTATCATTTAATCTAATGTTAGGTATGTCATATACTGTATGCTAGGGAATTTCTCTGTTTGCCTTCAACATGAGCCACCTGCTAAATGTGTTTTAACATTGTTATATTTAAAAATGTTGGCAGTCATAACTAACCAGTACCATACAAGCAATCCAATCTTATTGGTTTGTTTATTACATTATGTCTACAATTGCCATTAAGTCTTATTCAGCTGTTAAACAGACCATTGATGTCTGTGAAATAGTTGAATATTTGTTACAGAGTTCTTGAGATGTCTGCAGATTAAAATATGTATCACTTTTATGCCAGCTCCTTGAATATGGTTTTATTTGACTTTTACAGAATATTGTTAGTCTTTGCTAATGCATCTTTTCAAGCAAAGCTTTTGAATAAATGCTAAGCTTGCAGACATACATGGACTGGTATGCAGGCTTTGCTTAACGGCTGTCATTCACAGCAGAAAATGTTACTAGAGCCAAAGAAATAAAAACTTTGAAAGCCTACAATAATTTCTTCTCTGCTCTACATTTCTGCTGTGTCTGATATTCATGCTACATTGATAAATCAAAGTGGCTAGTTCTCAGATTCATCTCCCTTCCAAAAAAAGTACGTCAGTCTTCCATTGTTTGATGAAAGTCCAGTTGCAATATTTAATTTAATGGAAAATTAATATTTAAATTAAAAAACATGTTCCACAGTTTTCTGGTTTCTTCGATAATCACCAGGTGCAGTACCTATAACAGCACAAACTTTTTTGTTAGAATAATCTGAAAACAGAATCTACTCTGAACTGGAAAAATTATCTATAAGGTAGGAGGGGGGGAGGTCACAATTTAACTTTCTTTTTCTCAAGCAGTCCTACTGAACACAGCCAATGCTAAAGGGACATTTTTCAAAGGAAAACACGTGTTGATTTTTCTTCTACCAGACAGGAGGCCAGGACCAGGAGAGAAAGAGGACAAAGCGCCGTGGGGAGTTTTATTCCATCCAGACCTCCCTGATTGTAGCAGCCCTTAAAAAGATGCTGCCAATTGGCTTGAACATGTGCACTCCGGGTGACCAAGAGCTAATTTCTTTGGCAAAATACAGATACAGTTTGGTAAGAGTATGATGCTAATGAATTTTAACCAAATGCATAGTGAGTGTTGTTTCAGTAATGTGTGTTTTTTTTAGGTTTCATTGATACTGTAGGTGCAACATACTTTAGAATTTATAAATGCAGAGTTTGTTTTAGATCTATCTAAAAGACATACAGTATCTGTCTGCTGCTATTTCAGAGTGTTGAACTTGTTTAATAAAGGTTAGGCAACATCCACCTAATCACCAAATATGTTATTCACATAACCTGCAAACACTATAGTATTGCTAACATTGTCTAGCCCATCTCAAGCCTATCTAAGACAGTGGTACTTCTCATGTGTCTAGTGAGTGTGTTTCGGTGTAACCTAGTTGAGATGAGGGATTACTCTACACTCCCAATGAAGGGTAAATGCACCTCAGATTTTTTAATAAAATTGTATTCATTTGTTACATCATAGTGATTTAAAATCTACAAAAAGAGTTAAACATCTTGTTGAATAACTTACAAAAATACCTTAATATATGCTGTTAATAGTTGGTTTTACAGTACATGAAAAAAGGCAGCTTAATTACAGCTTTAAAGGGAGATACTTGGGCAGGAAATACACAACGAGAAATGTAAATTAACATATTCCTCTGATTCTTTACCATTTTCTATTTTGTAGAAAGATACAGATGAAGAGGTCATAGATCATTTGCGCCAAAACTTGCACTTGCAAGAAAAGGTGGGCTTTTTTAGTTGAAGTATTCATTGTTTCCTCACCTTTTGCATTAAATCGTTATACAGTATCGGCTTGAAGAAACTTCTGCTCAAAATCTTTTAGTTTACAGGACTCCAGATTATCAGACTCCAGAAGACAATACACTGTCATAGAACAAGTCCCATCTGTTAAAAAATGTATTCTTGGATGATTACTATAATTACATTCTAAAAGCTAAGCTAAAGCAATAGCTGAAGATACCTGGAGTGTCGTCCATTTTAATGGTAGTATGTATTATCTAGCATTCTCCATTTTAGAAAATCGCAAAAAATAATGTTGTTACAGTATTGAATTATGGTGGTTAATTACATAATTAAAATTTTAACTTCTTCAAGAAGATTACTTGGAACCAAAACTTGGATGTATTTTACCAATATTATCATGTTGCATTTTGTGATCATGCTGGAATCATATCAGTTGTGGTTTTTCACTTTCATAACCATACACCAGTAATCCTTTAGGACATTTTTTCGTTCATTTTGAGCTTTTCTGGCAAACAAAAAGAGTTTAAAGAGAATATTTGTATAAAAATTATGTAGGAAAGAAGGTAATTCACTTTGTTAGAAACCAATATATAATAATATCTCAATGTATCTTTAATATCTCAGAATAATTAATTGAAACTGTACGTTACAGCAAGTGGTTCGTGTAAACTAGAATAAATCTAGTATAAATGTTAACAGTTTAAGCTGTACTATAATTACAATTCATAGAGAAAAGAACAGAAAGTGTTCTAAAAGGACTGTCTCAAGCTATTGCTATTGTATGGTTTACCATGAGTGATGATTGCTGTTCCCTCTGAAGTCAGAGGACCCTGCAGTGAGGTGGCAGTTGAACCTGTACAAGGATGTGGTCGTGAAGAGTGAAGAACCACCGGATCCAGAGCGCACTGTCAGCAGGGTTCAGAGAATCTCAGCTGCAGTCTTCCACCTGGAACAGGTAAGCCATCTGCTGCATAGCCTGTGTTCCAGAATGTGTGGAGATCTAAAGCACCAGGGACACATTTTAACAGAAATGAAAACTAGGGTTTGAGGCTTGAAACTGATCTGAACCTATATGATAGAAGGTCTTGGAATCTGCAGATATGATGACTTTGTAAAGGCTTGTAATATCTTGACTTTAGGTGTTGTGACAAAACATTAGGGTGTCAGAGCTAGCTGCTGAATGAAGAGAGAGTGGTTTCACAGAGCAGTTCCCCTTCTTTTGTGGTTTTCTTATGTAATTTTAAGATAATATGGCTAAACGTAGCATTCTATAAACATAATGGAGTACAGATTGGCTAATAATACAGTAAGTGAACACTGTGTTTGTTCAATTCCAAAGGTGTTATAGAGTATTATCACAGTTTTACTGCTTTGACAAAGATCCATTCATATGCATTATGTGTTTTTACATTATTCTTTTGCTGAAATCTTCCATTCTATCCTTCCTTTTTCTAAAATAAGGTTGAGCAGCCTCTAAGGTCCAAGAAAGCTGTGTGGCACAAACTTTTGTCCAAACAACGAAAGCGTGCTGTGGTAGCCTGCTTCCGAATGGCTCCTCTGTACAATCTACCAAGGTATGTCAATGACAAGATACTAACCTTGCTGTATCAAAATTAAACAGTCCTGGATGCTGTCCACAAACCTGTGCTTTTTGAGATCTATGAATTTTACCACATTTTTAAAACTTCACTACGCACTTTTGTATTTATGTTATCAATTTTAACATCCATTTGGACAAAAATGAAATAATGAAAACCATGTTAATAAAAGCTATGAGTTAATGAAAACTAATAAGAGTTAAACCCAGGATTGTAAATGTTCATAAATTCCTGCTGCTTGATTTGAAGTATTTGAAGTGCAGTTTATTTTTCAAGTTTTTTTATACTTGAAAAAGACTTATTTATAAGTAAAGAATAATTGCTCACATTTTTGTTTTTTCTTGTGGTTTCATAATATGTGTTGTTCTAGATACTAACAATGTACAGAGACAGAAAACACTGAAATAATTACTTTGCTCCCCTAGCTTTTTTTCAGAAACCAGAGAGCAAACATTCTTTCCTTTTAAAAAAATTACAACAGCTGAGGACGGAACACTTTAAAAAAACATTTTGCCATGTGTTATAAATATCTTTGCAGCTCTGAGTTTAGGAAGATTGTGTGGTAAAGCCACACAAATAATAGGGTAAAACAAAATTACCCTGCTCATGACCCCATTGTTCATGTACAAAATTCACTTATATTAAGTTCTTTTGGTAGCCATTAATACGAGGCATAGATCAGGAAACTATTACACTTTCATGCAGTATTGTTTTTAGCTTGCAACTATTCATAAGATGGCACATAAATGGACATTTTCAAGTATTGTTAATTATTCATTTAACATTATGCCCAATCCTAAATGGAGATGTCTTTACCAAATGAGTTAGAGTGAAAATTAGTTAATGAGCAGGAGTTGCTGTCCACTGGTCTAACTCCAGAGGTTATGTGTTGCACTGTCTGGAGTGGACAATAAGCCTCAAACTATAATGACATTTCATCTGGGCAGTATTGTGTTTAATGATATTATCATTTCCTGTAATAACTTTTGACATGTCTCTTTTTTGTTCTTTCTTAAATGACAACATTATACTTTTCTTCAGACACAAAAATAACAATTACTTCCTGAACTCCTACCAACAAATTTGGCTGGAAAAAGTGCATGAGAACACAGACTATGACAGTCTGATCTACACGCTAACGGTAACGTAAGATTCAGACAGCTCACGTTTGTGTAAAAGCAATCTTCCTTTCCCAGCCATGGTTTGTAACTCTCATGCACGTCCTTTTCTCATTGGAATTCGGATTGGTCTCCCTTCAGGGAAAGATGACAACAGGTTCAGCTGATGCTATTAGAAACCTCTTTCAGCACTTTGAGTAGGTTGGAAGCAGAGCTGGCATTCACTCACAAGGGATAGATCCACACTAGCCTTAATTCAGAGGAGTGATTTTCTAATTTAGTATTGACATAACTCAAGGGAGAATTGCACATGCCTTGATAGCATGTATTTCCTCCTGGTATCTCAAAATTGTTGAAGACATGTATTTCTACTTACTATAATTCTAGATATACTGTATCCTTCACAACTGAGGTGAGAGGAATATTATAGCACATTGTTTTTTAACTCTAACAAGTAAATCATGCACAAAACTGGCACTGCACAAGGATTTTCAAAACATCGTTTTAGGAACAGCCTGCAAATAATCAGTTTTTTAGAGTTTAGTTTTGATTCAAAATACATTTTTTGTTAATGTATTAACAGTTACAGTACATTATATTATCTGTAACAACAGGAAACACAAACGTCTTATTCTTTAATTGTAAGAAATACAACACCTTTTAATGTGGCTTGCATTACTTTTATGTGGTTCATTGCTCATAATGTTGTGATGTTTCTCAATCCAAAAAATCCAAAATCTTTTGGATTTAATTTAGTTGTAACGAGGAGTTGGAGAATTACATTGGATCTGGAAATGAACACAAACACTCTTTCTAGACTGTTAAATAAGCTCTTGAATTCATCTGGCAGCTTTCTGGTCTGTGAGGATTTAAAAACTCTCTGATGGAGCAGCCAAGTGTTGTGTCACTTTACAGTACAAGTAAAACAGTAAAAACTGAAAAAAATGTTAAAAGTGTGGTACTTTATAAAAGGAAAGGCCACACTTTATATAATGCACCGCATTTATATTCTATTACTACTTTTTAAAACATAACCATTGATTTGGTATCTCTTAAATCTTCCATGTGCAGAAGAGTGCTAACAAACTAGATACAGGAGAACTATCCCTGTAAGGGGACCAGTCAGATGACCAACTGTCCCACTAATCATTAACTGCTTTAGCACAGTCCTCCTGTTCCAATCCTGTCTGCCTTCCTTCCTCATGTTAATCCTCCCTAATCTCACTCTCGCCCCCCAGGCATCGCTCTATTAACCTCTTCCTCCAGGGTTATCAGAGGTTTTGGATAGAGACAGAGGAGTACTCCTTTGAGGAGAAGCTAGTGCAGGACCTGGCAGTAAGTACTGTGTAAGCGCTGGCCTCTGTGCCTTGCTATGAGCTGCAGCTTGACTGGCTGCATGCTTTGCAAGCACAATTACTGCCAAGCCATTGAAATGCATAACCTTGAAAATGATCTCTCATTTTATCCCACTTCAATTAAGTTTTTGCCCATTAAAAGTAGTGACTCACATAGAACATTAGGGCCCAAAGGGCTGCATGACATTTTAGCTGATGTCAGTGCAAATTGTTTTGAAAAACATGACACATCCATATGTACTTTAGTGTGGGAGCATCTTTATAAAACATCCTGTGATAGAAAGGTTACAGGATGTCTCTTTTCTTTCCTAAATTTTAATATCATTATTGACTCTTTTTTTATGACTGGATTCATGTGTACAGTATTTTTTAAATGCTTAAATAAATCCCACAATATCATCAGACTGTACTTTTTATTAAATATAAAGAACGTTCAATAATGTGACACTTTGTACACTGTGGGAAAGGAAAAAAATATTTTCATGACAATTTATAAGAGAGGTAACTTTCCTCAGTGCATAATCTGTATTTCTAAAGGTGAGAACGTGTTCACTAAATTTACTTACTTCACTGCCTTTCTAATTAAAACCTCTTTGTCCTTATCCTGTTTAAAATTGTTTAAGCCCACAACTTTTATTTGTGAGGGTAGAAGCAATAATACAGTAGAACATAAAGAGAATGAATGGTTTTCTTTTAATCAGTTGGAAGATATCCACAAGAAGGAAAGAAAATTCTACAGGAGCTGGTAAAATAGTCCCCAGAAATACTTCAAAAATATTTTCTGAAAGAGGGGACAGGCCTTAATAATTGTAATGAAATACAACGTTTCAGCCTATCATAATTCCCCCCAAATGTACTTATATTTTCCAACTTGTATTTGTATCCAACTTAAACAGCTTGTATTTAGACATTGTTGTCATGAACCCATGCTATATAACTGTTGTCATCCTTACTATTTCTAACTGCATTTCTGTTTGTACTGTATGTATGTGTGATGCAAGCTTGCTAGCCAGAAATTTAAATAATTGCCTCAAAGCCATGGGTGTTGAAGTACTTTCAATGCATTTCATCAGATTTCTAGAAAATTATGTTTCCTTTAAATGTAATGGGTATGCATTTTTCATGCATGCTTGATTCTATATCTGCTGAAATTTTGGTGTATCCAGCTGCTGTAAAGGTAAGTGACATAATGAAATATCAGAATGCCAGATTGTTGGACTAATGCTTTTAATTTAGAAAAATCTCTTCATGTTTTTAGTTACTTTTAGTTGTTTTATGGCTGTAGTAAGTGTTTTGAAATGGGCACATTTCTTAAGCACAATTCTTAAACATAGTATGCACTGCTTTTTAAAATGCTACATTTAAGGAACATGGTTTAATTTTTTTAAATTATGTTTTAATTGAATAATAGGTGCATTTTATTTACAGTCATAACTTAATTGTAAAGTTATCATATTCACAGAATACAATAGAAATTGGCCTTGAAAGGTCGTTGTTTACAGCCTGTTGGCATACAGTAATCCCTGTGATTATTATGTGCTAATACATCATCATGTACATATAGCAATATGCAACAATTTAGTGCTTTTATTAAGAATGAGAAAAAAAACAATAAAATGCATTTTAATAGGGAGCACCATTTGAAAGGCACTACAGAACGTGCGCATACCGATTGCATGGTAAGAATGAGTTTTGCAATGCGGGGATTGGTAGTGTTGGGATCGGAGAGCTGGGTTATTCTGCTAAGTAATGTGGGTGTTCATGCAGAGACCCCAGAAAAAGACAGAAGAGGATGAAGAGGAGGAGGCAGAGAAGCAGCCTGACCCCCTTCACCAGCTCATCTTACACTTTAGCCACAATGCCCTGACAGAAAGGAGGTGCGTACAGCAAGACACTTGCTTGGACTCCTAGAAAACCATAGGTTTAAAGAGTTTCATCTGTAGTGTACTGTAAGTTTTCAAATTACAAATGACAAATTTACAAATTATCTGCCGACAGACAAGAAATTCTCAGTTCTGGAGATTACAAATATATGGCCAAGTTTCTTGGCATTAAATACAGAAATGTAAAGGTATTTTGAAAATAAGATTTGAAAGTAAAATTGAATCAAGAAGCAAATCAAAGTTTCATACAAGAACGTGAACAGTAAGAGTACACTTCCAATTTTCAAGTGTGAACCTGAAATCTTGAATTGATACCATTCAAAAGCCAAGAATCAATTAGTATTATCTTTTATCATAATTCAGATTAAGAAGATGTTGTTTTTTCCAGGATATTGTGTTATGGTCATGTGATAAATGTGCCCAGGGGTTGAGGAACAGACTCCTGTAGTGCTGCGTGCCCTAATTACTGTACATTGAAATCAAGGGGTAGTGAAGGAAATTAATTTGGTTTGATGACAATCAATATTTATCTTTTCAGTTATTGAATACTGATGTGTATATATATACTTAATTGAGATGAATACATATTTAAATAAGGTCGTGTTTGTGTTTCCCACTAGTTCTCTGGAAGAAGATCCATTGTATATTGCATATGCGGACATGATGGCAAAGGTACTTGTGTGTTGTTATTTGCTTTTTTCTTTCTTTAGAAAACTACAAAGTTGTTCCCTTTTAATTGCACAGAAAATCTTGGCAAAGGATTTCTAATGTTGGCGTTCCCCTTACTTTGTGAATACATGTTGATTTTTGTTTCCACTCTGTATTGTATCTGCCTTTTCACAGCTTATTACTCACAGTATGTCTTAAAAGAGCCAAGTTGACACACAATGTCTTCTTCTTTCCTCAGAGCTGCCAAGGGGAGGAAGAGGATGAAGAGGAAGGAAAAGAGAAGACCTTTGAGGTAAGTGTTCTTCGGTTGTCTGGCAAGGTAGAGTATTCTCAGTTCTTTCTTACTGAACTGTTACATATTACAATATAGAAAAAAGTTGTTTTCATTTAACTTTAACATTTATGGAGTATTATTATTTTTTATGAAAAGGCTGGTAATCCCAGACATTTTCTGAACCCAAATTACATACAATGTATATTTTTGACAAAACTAATGAAATTCAGGGTGTTTGTACTGTATACGTACAGCTTCAGTTAAATTACTCTGTTTTTCAGTGAGGATGGTTGTCTCATATGAAAGTTCTTAAATTGAGTTCTTAATGATTTAAGACACTAAGGCCATGCTCTGTACTAAGGGCTAAGTCCTATTTGAGTGCAACTTCATTAGCTCCTTCCTGTTCGTGTCTCCTCTCAGGAAAAGGAAATGGAGAAACAAAAGACCCTGTACCAGCAGGCCAGACTGCATGACCGTGGGGCTGCAGAGATGGTACTTCAGATGATAAGTGCCAGCAAAGGTAATGTTAGAAGTGACTCTTGATACTGGCAGCTGATCTCCTGCTCACTGATTGAAATGTGCACTAGAACATTGTGCATTAATGGAGTAATACTTTTTTGTTTTCTCCACAGGTCAATTGGGACCCATGGTAACTTACACACTGAAGCTTGGTATTGCCATTCTAAATGGTGGCAATGTTGTTGTCCAGCAGGTACAACAAAACATTCATTTTACTTTTTACAAATATAATCAAGCGTCTACGATAGATTATTTTAGATGGGCCATTTACAATAATCTAGATCCTCACAAGTTCATGTACTTCTTAAAATCATGTGCTTTGATTTTAGAAACCTGTCCTATGCTCCTCTTTAATACCAAAAATCTAGCCTCTTTGGAACCTGTGCAAGTGATCTAGATTTTAGTGACACAGGAAAAAACATGTTTTTGCAGAAAATGCTGGACTACCTGAAGGAAAAAAGGGATGCTGGCTTTTTCAAGAGTTTGTCAGGACTCATGCAGTCATGCAGGTTGGTTGGAAAACATGTGATGAGAACACATCAAGAATTCTGAATTCAAACTGAATTGGTTGGAAGAACTGAATTCAAAACATTGGTTCAGTGAATTGCAAAGGCCTGTTTTGTCAATAGACTTTAATTTATTACAGTGGCCCCTCAATGGTTTTGTCTTAAGTAGGATAATGACTGACGTAGTGTAATATCCATTTATGTGTTTCATGACAATGGCTTACTTGACGGTAAGTTTGTGAGCTTTAAAGGTCTGTTTTCACTTTGGATTTTCCCCATTAATGGACCTCTGTGTTGTATCTTTTAATTTAAAACTATGATAAATACAGTATAGTTTCTCTAAACATCAACAGTGTCCTGGACTTGAATGCATTTGAAAGACAAAATAAAGCTGAGGGTCTTGGAATGGTGACTGAGGAGGGTTCACGTAAGTCAAAATCTACAGTAACATCAAATGGACACATCACAAGCACACGTCTGTCTGATCGTTCTGCTATAGACATGTCTAATGCACATATTCAAACGTTAATCATTTTCTAAATTGTAGGATACTGACTGTGATTTTTAAATGCTCTGAAACGTGGAGCAGTAGTTTTTGATTATATTTTTTGTAGGTGTGTGAGAAGTAAAACTGCCTCAATGTTTTTTTTTTTTTGTTTTGCTGTCTTTAATTGTTTTTGAGAAGTGGGGCATTATATACTGCACACAAAGAGAGACTATATCAATCTTGTTTCTCCGAATTAATCAGTTAAATAAGACGTGTTTGATATTAGTAGTTGCAAAGCAAGCAATTGTTATTAAATGCTAAATATGATGCAGCTTTTACTTGTGACTTATTAATAGCAGGTTATTACACACACCTTCCAAAACAGGTTTTGTAGAGACTGTTGTAGACCCTAGTATCAACAGTCATGTATACTATTTGATATTTGAACTACAGTCTGTAGAGACTGTAGGCTTAAAATCTTTTATTTTTATGAAAGCGGAAAGCTTGCCTGTGCCTCACATGTGAAAAAAGTCGGAAGTTTTAGCTTATATCATTTATCAAGTACAGATACTGTATACCCTTTATTCCTTTAAACCTCCCTTAGGTTCTGCAAAATACAGCATTTCAGAATAGCTTTGGGTGTATGTTCATACTGTCTGTGCAGAATCCATGACAGATCATTTCAAATAAAAGTTACATTAAAATACATAGAAAACCATGCAAATGAAAGGAAATTAGCACAAATGATTTTTAGCAGTTAATTTTGATCACTGTATTATATCTGTATTATCAGTATGTAACTTCAACTCATTTCCACCTCATGTATCAAGGCATAAGTGATGGCAACTCCCCGTACTGTTTTTCACCTGCCAGAGTGTACAGTAACTGGACTTTAAAATGCATGTACATATAAATGTGTGTTTTTTCTACTTCTATTTAATTCAATGTGTCTTCTCCTTTGCTTACGTCTGCTTTTTTGTTTGTTTTTCTTATCATTTTACTCATCGGTTGCAGTCAACGTGCGTGAGCAGGGTAAATACATGGTTTAGATCTACTCATTTTCTCTGTGCTGCCCTTCTGAATGCAGAGTTTTAACGCTAGATTTGGCCCTGTCTTGGATGTTAACCAGCTGCTTTGGTTTGCAGGAAATGTGCATGCTGAACAGCAAAAAAGCATAGAAAAAAAACAGCATTAACTCACTCATCTTGTACTAAACTAGTGCCTGTCATGTGTGTGGAAATTGTGTCATTTAACAATACTAACCAAAAAATGTATATTGCTAGTTCAATTTGAATGATTTTGGCTTTTTTGCATCAAAAATGATATAGCATAATGTGATTTCCTTTTTTCTTAATAGTAACATTTCTGCTGTTTTGAAGTAGTTTAATTTTTAGAGCACTTTTACCTGAAAGGTGTAAATTTAATGTGAAACCACTAATCAGTAATTGAGATGTTTACTTTTTGATAGTATAAGAGAAATGCCTGGGCCCAGTAAGATCTGAGAGAGCTGTTCAAAGATTCAGTTGCCTCTTCTTTGGTAAACATTCTTGATTTGAATGTCCTGTTTTCAAAGGTGAGAAAGTTCTCCAAAATGATGAGTTCACAAAGGATCTATTTAGGTTCTTGCAACTGCTCTGTGAAGGTCACAACAATGGTATGTATGACTTTGAAACAGAAAGCAACTCTGGGATGAAAGGAGGAGGAAAATAATTCACATTGAGTTATAAATTAATACAAAAAACACAGAAAACATGGATCAGTGTACATAGAAATCTTTTTTTTTTAACTCCAGTATTGAGTGTTGTAAGATGAAATACTGGAAATGTCACTAAATACCCATTTAATGCAGTTTCTCAGTTTTCCCCATGGTGGTTTGTCCAAGAAACACTGTCTGCCATGAGTGATTAATAAGCCATTCTTTTTTCAGGTAATAGTGAGACTCATTTCCTTATTGTCCCTTTTAATGAAATTGCAACAGTCTGTTAACTTCAGTAGGAAAGCCATTCAGAACAGACATATTTACTGGACGGTTCTTTCATTTAAAATGTACTTGTACCAGACAAAAATAATGCACCATAACTCTATAATGCATTTTCCAATACATGTGCAAAATAGCTTTCTTAAACTCTACAAAGTATATTTATGCAACTGTTAGTTCCAAGCAACCATAAAATCTATTGATTGTATCATACCAAGTCTTTTGCTCTGACAGCACGGTTTTATATTGCTTTTTAAAAAAATCAGCCTTCTAGGCCTTTCATATTTAGTTTTTTCTTACCCATTCTGACTCATTCTAGGAGAAGAGGAGTTCAATTTTTCTGTTAAGTACATATTTTTTACTTGTTCAGCAGTTTTTTTAATATAAGAACACTAATTAGTTTAATGTGAATCTGTTAAGAACAGGGAAATCCAAACAGAATTTCTGTTTTATTGAAAAAAAGAAAGCTATCTACAGTTTCATTTAAACGTTTCACATTACCTTAATTAAACAGCTCTGAAGATGAGCGACTCACTTTTAAAGAACAGTTACGACTGGTATTAAAACTGCTACCTTTTTTGACTTTAGTTAAAGAGTGTTCAGGGTTGTTACCTTTGTATTCTGTGTTTGAAACAAACAGATTTCCAGAACTTCCTACGTACCCAGACAGGAAACACCACGACAGTCAACATCATCATCAGCACAGTAGACTACCTGCTTCGTCTGCAGGTAACGTCACAGCTGAGTGGGTTAGATAGTTGGCAGGATTAAGAGCGGAGTCGCAGTGGCTTCTTCACTAAATTATATAGTACTTTGAAAATGTACTGTATTTCCCTATAAAGTTCTAAAATCTACTGTACAAATTATTTTCAGCAATAAACTGTTTAAAAGTTGTACAGTAGTTAATGTATAGCAGGGCCTTAGCCAACCTAGCAGTCCTTCTGTACCACCTTCTGCAATACAACCAGAGCAGGACAGTTCCTCCAAAGGAAAAGCAAATATTGCAAGAAATGTAACATTGATTCTAAATATCAGCCTTCAATATCAGAATATTTGCATGAAATAATATAAACTGTGCTGTTTGTTAAACGTTTTTTGGTGGATATCTTGGTATTTTATTTTCGGGGGGTAGTGAGAGAGTTTTTTTAGATCCTGAAAAACCACCAATAGCAAACTTTTTTTATAATGTGTATCTGGTGGTGTTTAATTCAGGAAAACATTTCTTTCAAATTTAATAGCTGATATGCCTTTCTTGTAATGTGAACTCAGCGTGTCCTGGCTTACTCTTTGTAGGAATCCATCAGCGATTTCTACTGGTACTACTCAGGAAAGGAAGTCATGGATGAACCGGGACAGCGCAACTTCTCCAAGGCATTAGCAGTGGCAAAGCAAATTTTTAACTCCCTCACAGAATACATCCAAGTAAGGACTCTTTTTGTTGCTTTAATTAGTTCTCATTTCTCATGGTTCCTTGTAAATGCTTAAGGGATATATTATTTTCCTGTGACCATCTCTTTTTTCTTGTGTTAATAGTGTGTCTCAGTTGTTGTCATATACTGTATGTTCAGTATATATCATACAGTTCAGTATGTACTATATATATATAATACAGTATTATATCAACCTTACCAAAAGTGTTAAGTAGATAAATATTGTGTTATATTGTTCAAGTAAGAAAACGTAATTCAGCAGTAAGCCACAGAGTGGCACACAAGTTCTAAATAAAGAGAGAAGATTTTGTTACAGGACTTTGATTCTCACAAGCTGTACAAGATTTTCATCATTGCAAAAAAAACAGCAGTAAACGTTTCCACAAGATTAAAGGACATCTCAGAAATTGTTAAAATAAGTTATCCTTAAATTAAGAGGGTTCTTGCATATCTGTGGTCTTTCACAAAATATGTTTGGGTGCAGGTCAAGAGCATTCATCGCCTTGGAGAATAATGTTGTTTTGGTATCTGGAACTTTACCAAAATGTAAATTGTACATGGCATAGTAATTGTATACAGGACCCTCATTATTTTTCCTTTGCTCATTCTGGAAGTGAGTTAACTATATTCTGATGTAAAATAGAACACACCAGGGTTCCTTTCAGGGAGGATTCTTACATAGAGGCATTCAGTCATAATCCCACAAATGGTAGCTTCTCACCATTGGCTCCTCAGCTAAGCACCAACACCACGGCTGAAACTGCAGTACCTCCCATATTGAGCAGCAGTACTGTTGCGGTAATAAAGTATATCATCACCTGTTTCATTGTGGTCTACGCCCAGCTTACATTCGCTATTAAATAGTGATGTAAAAACAAATACAAGTTGTGATTGATAAGAAACAATTCTGACCATCTTCCTCATCCATTGTTGAGCCCTGTCGTGCATTGAATTTAGTCTTACTAATGTTTTGCTTGGAATGGGTTTTGTTCATTGTATAAGAAATTAAAGGTGGTTTTTAAATGCATAAAGGTAAGCACAGATGCATATATGAACATGCGCTGTACTGTATATATGTATATTGTATTAAATATACAGTGGCTCTGAGTGCTTACAGACAATGTGTCTCTTCCCCAGGGTCCCTGTATTGGCAACCAGCAGAGTCTGGCACACAGTAGGCTCTGGGATGCTGTTGTTGGCTTTCTTCATGTTTTTGCAAACATGCAGATGAAGCTCTCCCAGGTACTTAATATTTTTAAAAATGTATCAATGCAGAAAGTCCTAATACATTTCAACATACAGTACTGTATGCCTGTTTACAATATGGTGTAAAAAAAGGTGATAGAACATATTTTGTAATGGGAGTGCTTTCCCTATATCTCTGCAAATTAAAAAAAAAGTTGTACTTAATGATGCCCAAAGTTCTCAGCACAAGGACGTTTTAGCACAGTAGAGTTTCATATATTGCAAAACAATTCTTCAAGGTTGTCATTGTGAAATGTTATGATTGCTTCCCAGCTGTTTATGAATATTATGGATCATTGCATTAGAAGAAAAACAGAAGATAGATTGGAATGAAGAGAGATTCTCATAAGCAGCATAATTATTTGGGCTAAAAGGCTATTGAATTTTTAAATTTATATTCTTAAAGTATATAAATGAACACTAGAGACCTCAATAGTTAAGACATTATAAGACACAAATTAGAAATAATTCTGGGTTAATTTTAATTTTTAATTGATAAGTAAATCTCTTTTTTTAAAAAAAAAATCTTTAAATATAATTGAAATGTTTCCTTGGCTGGCTGGATTTGGTCATTTGAAAGCAGGCGTGACATGGGAGATAAAAGTTTAGTTTCAGATGTAAAACTAACTGTGAGAGAAGTCATTGGAGGCTTCAAATAATGTTGTTAATAGCCACCTGCTTCTTTCTAAATAAGATGACATTAAAGTCTGCAGATGGATGAGAGCTCCATAACTTGGGTTATCTTTTGGAAAAAGCTCTGACCTTTTGAAATGCCAGTTCAGCATATTAAACTGTGTTAAGTAATGAAAAGAATGAAAATGGATAGAAGCCTCAGTTGTCATGGGCTGTGTTTCTGCAGGATTCAAGTCAGATTGAACTACTGAAAGAGCTGCTGGACTTGCAGCAAGACATGGTAGTCATGATGCTGTCTCTTCTGGAAGGTAACAAACCTTTCTGTACTCCACCTCAAGCATAAAACTGGGGACTAGGGAAGGCAACAAGATCTGAAATCATTTTTCATCCATTTAACCCTAAATCAGCTATAATGAAAAAACCTAGTGTTTTTTAGGACTTCAGACATGAAATGCACGTATGCTCTACTATTTCACACCAATAATTTACTATCTCACAGTTACATAATGATTTGTACTATTTCCACACAGGTAATGTTGTAAATGGAACAATTGGAAAGCAAATGGTGGATACCCTTGTGGAGTCCTCGAGCAATGTGGAAATGATCCTTAAATTCTTTGACATGTTCCTCAAACTGAAAGACTTGACATCCTCCGATGCCTTTAAAGAATATGACCCTGATGGGAAGGGTGTCATTTCCAAAAAGGAGTTCCAGAAAGCAATGGAGAGCCAGAAGCAGTACACCCAATCGGAGATTGAGTTTCTCCTGTCCTGTGCAGAAGCCGATGAAAATGACATGTTCAACTATGTGGAATTTGTTGAGCGCTTCCATGAACCTGCTAAGGACATTGGCTTCAATGTAGCTGTGCTTTTGACCAATTTATCAGAGCACATGCCTCATGACTCTCGACTCGGGGCTTTCCTGGAATTGGCTGAGAGTGTGCTGAATTACTTTGAACCCTATTTAGGACGCATTGAAATAATGGGGGGTGCAAAGCGGATTGAAAGGGTCTACTTTGAGATCAGTGAGTCTAGCAGAACTCAATGGGAGAAGCCACAGGTCAAGGAGTCAAAGAGACAGTTCATCTTTGATGTTGTCAATGAAGGTGGGGAGAGTGAGAAGATGGAGCTCTTTGTGAACTTCTGTGAGGACACCATCTTTGAGATGCAGCTGGCATCACAGATCTCAGAGCCTGATGTCACAGAGAGGTCAGATGAGGATGAAGAAGAACCTCACAATATCCTGGAAGAGTTGGAAACTGAAGAAGAAGACAGTGCATCTCTGGAGTCCTCCTCAGCCTTTGCCATTGCCTGTGTTTCTATGAAGAAGAATTTCGCTCATTTCATGCAGCTTCTTACTTTCAGAAACCTCAAGAAACAGTACAAGAAATTCAAGAAGATGAGCATGAAGGAGATGATTAAAGTGTTCTTCTCTTTCTTCTGGATGATATTTGTGGGACTCTTCCGCTTTGTTTACACTTTGGTGTGGGGACTGATCCAGATTGTGTGGTCATCAATGTTTGGTGGTGGCTTGGTTGAAGGTGCAAAGAACATGAAGGTGACAGATATCTTAGGAAATATGCCCGATCCAACACAGTTCGGCATCCATGGTGATGTCCTGGAAGCAGAAAAGGCTGAAATGAGTGAATCAACAGCGTCATCAGACCTTGTACAGTTAGCAAAAGGTGAAAAGGGAGAACCAGATTTGATGACCGAGCTAATAGGTATCACGACAAAGAAAGAAGGAAAACATGGTCCAGAGCCCGGCCTTGGTGACATCTCAGAAATTATCGGAACAGATGCCCCCTCCACTCTTGCAAGTGCTGTCCGTCAAAAGAAATTGGCTCAGGTTTGTTTCCAACTTTTTATTTATTTTAAGATCTTTACTTGATTGGAAAAAAAAACTCAGCGGACTCCTATTCACTCCCACCCATGTCTAGGTTTGGCTGCCTATTCTGAATTGTCCCTCTCTATATCCCTGCAGTACAACTAGTGTTTTGTCCAGGGCAAGTATCTGTATATGTTCTCAGTCCCTCTTTACACCCTCGGCTTCCGGAATAAGCTTTTGTATTCCTCACTCACCAGGATAACATGTTTTTGTTAACAGATTGATGGGTGGGAGAAGCATGGCAGTATTCCTATTTAGCTCAGCACTGTTTTGGCAATATTGATATACACATATATTATGCCAGGCCCTACTATAATTGTGAAAAAGTTAGGCTATAAATTGACGAATGGTAATGAACACAATAAACAGATGTCTTAATATTGCTTATTACTACTGCTATTAGATATTCAAAATGTCTTTCTACAACTGTGGTAATTTCCATTTGGCCTTTTGAAAAGAGATTTGTACACATAGCAGGCCTGTTGTCTAGCGAGATAAGGCAGTTTTTCGTAGTAAAAGCCAGGACTTTCCTTTAAAACAGCAGCAGAGAACACGTAAGTTCAAAAAGGTATTCTTATGCTTCAGTATATTCTGCAAGCGTATGACTGTTTTTAGGTAGCATTGGTCTTTTCTTTCAAAATTAAAAAAATGAAATGCAGTTTTACTGTATATACTGTATAAGGTCAACAGTCAAAGCTGTTTTTTTCTACTTCCTACTTTTCATTTTGTAATTAACCCTTACGTATTCCTGTACAGTATATGCAACACAGCTTTTTACTATAGAAGTGTGAGTGCAGTAACCCTACAGTGTGATATTTTTGTTCCATAGGCAGGAGATATGACCAAGGATACTGAAACAGATATAAAGGCAGAGCCAGAAAAGGCAGAGTGAGTGTTTGTTCAGGAACATTGTGTGAAGTAAAATGTACTAATGTGGTCAAATGTCTGAATTAAGCAGCAAAGTAATACTCAAGATATATTAAACCTGATCTGTAGAGTCTTTGCATATTTGAGTACCTAAAGTCATATAGCCTTGTTTTGCTGATATAAAAGTGGATCTGCAAAGATATGAATATTAGTTCTCTATACATCTGTACATTTGTAAAATATATATTTATATACATATTGGTACAGTTTTATTTTAGAAAACCTGATAACTTCTTGCTTTTCTATGAAGTTGTAACCATATTCAAGTCAAAATGCACACATGATTTAATGAATGTATAACGTGCCACACGCATTCTAATATACTGCAATCTGTAAAAACATTACGGTTTTAGCTGGAATAGTGTCTGAAGTGAGTACAAATTGAAATATTTTAATTATGTAAATTAATCAAATTCAGTGATAACTTGAAAAGACATCAAAAACAAAATTGGCGATCAGCCAATGGGTTATACATTGCAGTTTCACCTTTAGTCATTATTATGAGGAACATGACTGAGTAAAAATAAAATGTAAACATAAAAATGTCACACTTTCCATTTATTAACATCATGAATACCAAAATGGCATTGGTGTTGGTATTATTATTACTGCTGGGACACATCTTGGCAACTTTACTAATAAAAATGAGTTGATTACAAAGCGTTTCTTTTGAATTCATCAAAGTGACGATGTACCTCATTGACCTTTGGATAGCTGGGTAAGCCTGCGTGTTGGTTGGCATTTCTGATTCCTTTTCCTACACCACCTTGTCCTGTGGCTTTATAGCACAGAGGATGGGGAGAAGAAGGACAAGGTGAAGGAAGATGAGGCTCCAGAGCCTGTGGTGGAGGAGGAGCGAAAGGTCAGGAGGAGAAGACATGGCCAGAAGAAGGAAGAATCTGAGGCATTCATGGCCACTTTCTGCGCTGGATTGGAAATCTATCAAACTAAGATACTGGTAAACTAATACTTCACTTTGATTCCTTCATGTCCTTCTATGACGTCTGGTAGAGAACATATAATTGAAATTGAAATTCATTCAAACAAAACTCCACCAGGTTTGATTTAAAAGTATTTTAGGCTCTTGGCTAGCAGATATTGATTTAGGAAATCTTGACTGAGAATTCCAGTGATTAGACTGCTATTGAAAGTGGAAATGTGGGTCAGCTATGCAGTGATCCCAGATACAAAGTGTTTATTGTTTTGTTTTTTTAAATCACTATTTATTTTTAGTGGAGGAAAGGCACCAACTGGGGGAGATGTGTGTCTTTCACCGACAGCACTGCAGTGCCTGGGGCACACTGTGCCAATCTCAGCCAGCTCTGGCCACACTCAGCTAGTGGCATGGCCGAAGCTTGAGCCATGGTCATTGAGCTCCACTTACACTCAGGATGCCCCACACAAAGCAGTTCTAACCTTTTTAAATGAAAATTCAAAAAGTAGTGTAAAGAAGGTGAAAGGTCATATTTTTAATTTTAAGCACAGAGCGAGAATTAATCAAAAACTGATCGCATTTCGACTGACTGTATTGTTTCAGAACTACCTGGCCAGAAACTTTTACAACCTTCGTCTTCTGGCTCTGTTTGTAGCCTTTGCCATCAACTTTATTCTACTCTTCTACAAGGTAAATAAAGATTTTGTGAAATGTATTGGTGACTACTACATGTACTGTAGTAAGCTGTTATTTTGTCTTGTCCTGGTGACAGTGTGTGTTCTGAGAACACTGTTTCTTCTATTCAGGTGACAGAGGATCCCTACGATGAAGAGGAATCTGACGAGGACTCTGATCTCTGGAACGGTGATGATGAGGAAGATGATGAAGGTGGTGTGGTGTACTTCGTGTTGCAAGAGAGTACAGGCTACATGGCACCCACACTCCGGTTCCTTGCTATCATTCATACTATCATATCCTTGCTCTGTGTCATTGGATATTATTGTCTGAAGGTAATTCTGTTTAAATTTCTTTACTGGCCTTCTCGCATGCCAAAGCTGCCTAGGTCTAAATCAGCCTTAATGTAATGTTTCATTAAGATTCACTAAAGATTAGACAGGCTCATCATATGTATACAACTTTTCATCTGTGTAAACATGTGCCTCACGTTTTGGCTTTAACAGTAATTTAAATCACTTGAGTCTGTAACCTTTAACACAGCAAAATTTGATTGTTAAAACTTTTTTTCTACAATGCCATTGAACTGGTTAAAGAAAATACAGGTTTCTTCTTTTAAACAAGTTATACTTGCTTAGAATCTAGTTTGTTTGTTTTCAAGACCATATTTGTGATATTGTTTTATGAGGCATAGAGGAACATGCAACAAATATCTTACTATAAGGGATATTCAGTAATCTTTACATAGTCCTTACACTTATGAAGTGCATTTCTGGACACTACTCAAAGCATTTTACAGGAAATGGGGACTCCCCTCCACAACCATCAATATGTAGCAACTGGATGATATGATGGAAACCAAAATGCGCCTCACCATGCTTCAGCTATCAGTGGGGAGGGGAACAGAGTAATGAAGCCAATTCATAGATGGGGATTATTAGGAGGCCATGCTTGGTAAAGACCAGGGGAAAATTTGTCCTGGACACCATCAACACCCCCTATAGGTAGGTCCCTTTCTAGGCCATCAAGGCCTATGGGGAATAGGGGGCAGGGGCCACCATTTTTCTTGACAATCCGACACTGGATGTGGAGGTGATGTGTTCAACACATCAAGGATTAACCCCTGGTACTCATTTGGAAAGCAGGCAGTGGACCTGGGAGCTATCTGGAAGGAATTAGAAGGAATCCCTACCTGTGATTGAACCAGGGACCTTCCAGTCAGGAGCTAGACACCCTTGCCATCTGAACTACCATGGCTCCTAACACCCCCTACGACCCCTATAATCAAACATTGTCATTGAACTTTTCGAACCCTATCAAGTACATAATTTCAAGACTGCAGTCTCTGCAGTGTTGCACCATTTTTCCACTTTAGTGCAGTGAATCAATTAAGGGGTCTTATGTCCTTCCTCCAAAGGTGCCTCTGGTCGTGTTCAAGCGTGAAAAGGAAATTGCCAGGAAGCTCGAGTTCGATGGCCTGTATATAACTGAGCAGCCTTCTGACGATGACATCAAAGGACAATGGGATCGCCTTGTTATAAACACTCCGTGAGTCAAAGGGAGCCCGACTTTTACATCCTTGTTAATTTTTAAAAAAAAAAGTTCAATCTATAATTTTTCACAATAACAAGTTTACATTTTTGTGTTACATGATACATGTACATTTCAGCTCTGATTTGTGATTTGTGAATGACATTCATGTCTCTCTCTGTCAGGTCTCACAAGACCTAAGCATGCTTACAAGTTAGACCCTATTAGCATTTTGCTAATTAATATGTATGGGTTAACATAATTAGATTTAATCCGTCTCGTTAAAAACAGCTGCATGGTCACGTTTAAAACTGCCAGTATCACTTGCCAATACAAGTAGGAGACTGTTGAAATGTGACTGAGTTCTGGTTTTGTACAGGTCCTTCCCCAATAACTACTGGGACAAATTTGTTAAACGCAAAGTAAGTCATATTTACTATAATTGCATGCATTTTACTCTGGATATCTGCATGAAGTAAGTTCACCACAAATTGCTGGTGAAAAGATTCCTCCTTCTCACTTTAAGTGATCAAAATCTGTGATTGTATTGATGCTTAGTCTAAATAAAAGTTCCATGTATCAGCACAAATCTCCTGTCTGTATCCCGTACTATACGGTATGCTAGATTCAACTGAAATTTAGAGAGACTTCAAGGCTCTCTCATCAAGTGTGAAGTTGGAATGGTTTAATTCTTGTTATTGCATAGATATAGTTCAACTCTTAACTTGATCTGCTGATTCCAGTCTCCTCTGTCGAAAACCATTACACAAGAGGTGATAAAGCCTTCTTGTGTGCGTGCCTTTGGAATTCGCTGACAAAATCCATTAGACATTCTGCAAATGCTGACAAGTTTAAAACTCACTTGAAGACCTTTTTCACTATACTTTAGTTTATAATTTATAATGTTGTTTTATTAGATCGATGTATTTTTCATTTATTTTTGTATTTACGTGTTCACAGTTCTACCGCATTTTACTTTTTATTTTTAATATTACTTAAATAATACAATAATATCAATGTTTTTTGGGAAGTTATGTTTCTTTTACTTTACCACTAGCATTGCTATTTAGATGCAGCCGTTTATTTTACCTGTGTTCTGTTCAGGTCATTAATAAGTATGGAGACCTCTATGGTGCTGAGCGCATTGGTGAACTGCTGGGTCTAGACAAGAGTGCACTTGACTTTAATCCCACAGAAGAAGCTGTGGCGAAGGAAGCCACACTAGTATCCTGGTAAGGGCCAGACTTTAATGGGGATAATAGTGTATTATAATGACACTGTGCTTGAGATTTTCCTGTTTTTGAATTGTTTTAAATGGATGTCTTTGTTAATACGCCACACAATTAATCCGTTAGTACAATCTAATCTGTTAATCGAATACCTGTACCTAAGACAAACAGACTTCTTGAACAAATGAAAAGAGAAATCTAGATTGATCAGCCTATCATTGTAAGCTGTATTTTAATGTGTTTATTTCCCCAGGCTCAGCTCTATTGATACAAAATACCATATCTGGAAATTGGGAGTTGTATTCACTGACAATGTGAGTATACTGCTGTATTTCGTGCTCCCGGTGTATTAGTGTTTAATTTAATTTGTTTAGCATATTATGTTTTTTCTATTAAAATGTATAAGAAAGTCACGTGCATAGTGACAGTATTTATTCTTTTCCAGTCTTTCCTGTACCTTGCTTGGTACACCACCATGTCTATTCTGGGCCATTACAACAACTTCTTCTTTGCTGCTCATCTGCTGGACATTGCAATGGGTTTCAAGACACTTAGGACCATCTTGTCTTCTGTAACTCACAATGGAAAACAGGCAAGTGCAGTCCACCCCCTTATTAATTAAGAAATGAACTCTGCATGGTGGAGGATAAATGTTGAACAAATTAACATGGACATGAGCTTGACATCCCAGCATCCCATAGAGTATTCATTGAATCCATATGTTCCAGTATTCTGCTAGTATATTCATCAACAAGCACTAACTACTGAGGCTCGGTGTCATAGAAACACAAGGAAATGCAATAATTTCAATTATTTGTACTACTATTTTTTAACTTTTTTTAAATACACTGCATTATCTCCACAAGTGATGTGAAACTAAAGCACATCTATTTCCTACACACTCAGAAGCACAGCTTTATGTATGCTTTGTCTTAAACGTTTTACCTGGGAGGATAAAAATGGTCAAAATAAAATGTGTGACATGGCAAATTGTCAGTATTGTCGGATGTTTACTGTCCTTGTGCAGCTCGTGTTGACTGTGGGCCTTCTAGCTGTCGTGGTGTACCTGTACACTGTGGTGGCCTTCAATTTCTTCCGCAAGTTCTACAACAAGAGTGAGGATGAGGATGAGCCTGACATGAAGTGTGATGACATGATGACAGTGAGTTACTCTTCTGTTAGGTTTGCTATACAGTGACAATCTGTATGGTCACATGCATGTAAATGCTTCTGTGTTAGGCTCAGTGTGATAGTGACCCAGTATTCCATGTAGTATGTGCTTTTGAAGTGCAAAGCCCTTTGAGCAATTAAATAAATGTGACAAATGCCTTCCCTTATGCAGTGTGTTTGAGGAGGATCTATTCAATGGAACAAAATAGTTTTGAGAATAAGAGAACTGGACCATCTTGAATAAGTTAATTGAGAGCTGTATTTAATATAATACTGTGTACTGTATATGGCTGTTTTGCCTAGTCTGTTTTTCAAATCTCACTCTCATTTGTGTGGCTTTTCTTGTTTTGCAGTGCTATTTGTTCCACATGTACGTGGGTGTAAGAGCTGGAGGGGGCATCGGTGATGAGATTGAGGACCCCGCTGGTGACCCATACGAGATGTACCGTATAGTCTTCGACATCACCTTTTTCTTCTTCGTCATTGTCATCTTGCTGGCCATTATTCAAGGTACAGCGTGTCTTTTCACTGCAGGGAGGCCTCCAGGCAGTCTGTCAGAACCACATTCCCTTCCACTCTCAAAGTCACTCTCGCTGAGCATCAACCTCAGTGCTGAATCCTGAGTGAAAGCTTGAAACCGTTTAAGCCTCACATTATGCACAAGTCAAGGATCCTTTATAGCTCTAATTCATGGACTGTGAATCACATGCTCTGGAAGAGCCAGTAAAAAGAAGATAAGACAATCGTGAATCTTCTTGCCCAAAATATTCTAATGAAGCACTATATACGGTACATGTACAGTATGAACCAAAGGTCAGTCAGCAAAGTATTTTGAATACATAGGGACATGTGCTATCATCCAATAATATTAATACTAGTAGCAACATTAAATAGAAGGAAATGTCAGTACTTGGCACATTATAAGGTCTGTATATATTTGTGTAGTGTACTGTATTTATTTTCATAATACAGATTAAGGAATTTATTGGTTCTCTGTTTCTTGGAAACAACTATAACAAGTGTATGAGTGAATTAATGTTTTTGGAGTGCTGCAAGTTGACATATACCAATACACTGCTCAGACAAACTGTTTGTTCTCATAAAGGTTTGATTATTGATGCCTTTGGAGAACTGAGAGACCAACAGGAGCAAGTGAGAGAAGACATGGAGGTAAGAGGTGTATTAACTTCAGACTTATTGCTCTAAACCTCTAGCTCCGTTTAATATTATGTTGTGCATGTGGATACCAGATCATTTAGTACTGCACACTTAAATCTAATGTTTAGGTACAGATGCAGTCACTATGTATAAAATAGTTATATTAAAATTAAAATTGTATTTGATCTGTTTTCCGATTACCATTATAAAGCACTATTATTGCTATTAAGAAGCAAACAGAAGAAGTAAGTGAGAGTTATTTTAATAGATTTGAAGTCTTACCAAATTACATTAGGAAATAAAAAAAACATCAGGTAGGGCCCTAAGTCTTAGTGCTCTGACCTACCTGCCACTCACTCCCACATGTGAAGAGGTTATTGCACCTAACTAAAATGAAAACTTTAACCTTGGGTCCTGCGAGTGGTCAGGGGATCAATGTTTTGATTGAGTTTGGGCCCTAGTTTCTTGTGCAGACTGTTATCTGAAATAGTCATTTACTATTGATGCTAGTGATTGCCAGCTGTCAGGAATTTAATCCTTTTTGTATACTCTCAAAAAATGCAGAAAAAGGAGGCTAAACGTGTTTTGATGAATATTGGCATCTGACCACAAGAAAGTTTTCTATGCTGGCAAAATGCAACCTAGTAGAAGTCTTCCCATAAGAATTTCTGTAAATGGGTGCAACCAAGTGTGTTCTAAGGGCACACTGTCAGCCTCCTCCCAGCATCTTAAGATTTTTTGACTGCATTTAGCCCCAACAGCAAAGAATCCATGCATAAAAATTAATAGCACCTTGAGAGTTGTCCTGGAAAAGGAGCTGTCAGTGGCTCTGAAAAGCAGTTGCATCTGCATCTGGAAGCACATTAGTCACATTCACCCAAACGTGTTACTGCAGAACACTTCCAGAATGTGTCTTAATGCACTTTACTACTGCTTTTCAGACCAAATGCTTCATCTGTGGAATCGGCAATGATTATTTTGACACGACGCCACATGGTTTTGAGACACATACCTTACAAGAGCACAACCTGGCCAACTACCTGTGAGTACAAATCTCTCTTCACTAATAACTCTATTACACAGGATTTAGAGCACTCACTATAAAGTAAGACTGAACCCTGGTGTAACAACTAATACTTTATACCAGAAATGTGCATTGGTCACAATGTAAACTGTTGTGGATTGAAATATGGCACTGCCCATGTTTTAGAATGTTTTTGTTTGTTATACATAGCTGTAAATATATCTACTGTATCTCATTCATAGATGGAATGATGGCTGAATTTATTTATGCAATGCATGAAATGTTAGTTTTTTTAAAACCTCAAAAATATGTCCCTTAATAAGAGGAAATAATTTTTAAACCCATTACGGTAATTTAAGGACATTATTTTAATGAGAGAAAGATCTTGTTTTGTGTTGCAGTGTTTTATTTTGCGTTCTTATGGCCCTGAGGGTGGATGTAAGAAACACGATTTTTCCATTTTGTCATCAAATGTATCATAATACAATTGTATTTTTTTTTATCACCAGCTTGAACTGTAAACTGTAAAAGTTTAAACTGTAATTGCTTTCTCGCAACATACAGTACATGGTTGATAGATAACCGAGCTGGGTTACATGTTATCTGATTTTAAAGAATAATCTACCATTTATTACTTCACAGGTTCTTCTTGATGTACCTCATTAATAAGGATGAAACAGAGCACACGGGCCAGGTATGCAGTTCCAGTAACACAGTACCTCAGTCTGCTTCCCTCAGTTTAAATGTTATCTTAAAGCCTGCAGCAGAAATTAAATTTGGGAAACTCCACAAATTACCCTACAGTTTTATTACACTGAAGACTGATATCTCTACTATAAATGTGTCACAAAAACATTGTAAAAAGATGTAACAAAGCTCTTGCATGCAGTAATTTTGAATAAATCTTTCTAAATAGTGCATTACTGCTGATAGTGTTTCTAAGCAAAATATTTTTTTTATTTTGTCAGCAGCATGTATTGTACAACCTTAATGGTTTCAGAAATTGACCACTGAAGAGAAACAACAGCCAAAAAACTAAGCAAAATGTAGACAGTTTGCTACTTATATTGAGCATCACTATTAGAGGCATATCAGTCTATGCATGTGTTTGAGAATAATATACTAGTTTTGAATATTGATTAAATGTTTTTAGCATCATTTTGATTAACTGTGATACACTTTGCTTAAATGGATTAATTGGGCACAGATACAGTATCTAAAAATTTTAGATATCTGAATGCCTACATAAAATCCTGAAAGGAAAACAGAAATGTGCCTTTCTTATCAAGAGATAACATCTCTGTTTCATCAGTATTCTCAAGGATAGACTTTTTGCTGTCTGGGATGTTCTCAGCTAGAAACTGTGAACCTGGCAAGACATTTACATGCAAATACAGTCTAGTCCACAATCTGGGAGACCACAAGTAAAAGCCGCTTCAAGCTCTGCGAGGAGATCCATATGTGATGGTTTGATCAGCAGCAGTGTATAGTCTCTTCTGACCTCCACTTGTAATAAATGGTAGCAACCTGACTGCACAGTGCTAGACTGTCCACGTCCTGGGACCTTATTTACTGCCATTCATACAGGCTTATCCTCACATGACATTTCTGCAGAACAGTAGAACATGTGTAGGACAATGTGCAGCACCTAGGGCTCAATGACCACTGAACAGACACATGATTGTCTATGCACTATGAGAGAAATGAAAGAGAACATCATAACTACACACTACTAATCTAAGACTCCCATTATTCAACTCTATTGATGAAAAATGTTAATCAGCATTAATTTACCTATTTCATGCCTCTTCAATAAAATGTCAGTGTTCCTGCTACAAAAAAGGATAGCAGATTCCCCAATAAAACTGAACTTAAAGTAATAAATTTTAAAACACTTAAAAGTCATGTTTCATTCATATTCTGTATATAGTACATAACCTACATTCGTTTTCTAAACATCAGATCCATTAAAAATAAGATTCACATTAGTTGCACAAAATAGTCATTTTTTGATAATGGTCATTTTATTAAGAATTGGTATTAAATATGCCATGTTTATACAGTAGATGTGTCTTTTTCTGTAAAATACATAGATTAACAATCTCAAGATTGGATCTACATGGTTAACATGGATGTACTTCAGTCTCTTATTTTTATATCAGTTAAAAAGTTATATTTTGGCCAAAGGGTAGGAAGGTTTAAGGAACTCAAAACACTTTGGAATGCTCTTATCAAACATAAAGGACAAAGACAAAAAGCATCTGCAGTGAAGTTCTGGGTTACACAATGGATTTTTTCTTTTGTTTTACCCTCGGAAAAAACGAACCATCAGTTCTGGTAAATGTTTGGTAGGCTGTAATATCTCTGTCAAAATAACTAAGCCCATTAAAAATGAAAATACCATCCTGTTGAGAGCTGTGTTGTAACTCCTGTCATTTATACTTGGGGTTAAGGCTTAATGAAAAGTTTATATCACAAAGAAGTACCCTTTCAAAGAGGTCTATACTTTATGTGCAGTGAGTGAGTCTATCACAATAAATAAAAATCACTGGAACACTCATGATATTTAAAGGAAAAATATTTGATCTGTCCCTTTTCCCTACCTATTTCCATAACTCAACTATTTCCATAATCAACATTTTGGACATCAGATTCCCGTTAGGTTCTATTTCCTAAAGGTGATTTACATGAAAAGCTGCAGCTCCCCATTTATTTACAAGTAATGCATCAGCTGACGGCTCCTTTTCAGCTACAGTGACTTGTGAATGTGAATAGTTGACAGCTATTCACTGGCTAATAAGCTGTGCTATTCTAGAATGATTTTTCTCATGTACTGTAGGCACGACCGTTGGAAAATTGATGGAATTAGGAGTCGAGGTTGATGGCAAGTTATTAGCCTTGCTATTATGAGATGAAACTTGCATAAATAAGCACAGAAGATTCATAACTTTTTTTTCTATATACAGTTTTGCCCTTTTAACTCTACCAGTGATGTGGCATCCTGCAGTCCATCATCTCTCACTGTTGGATAAATAGGTTTCATTATTGCACTGAATTGTTACTGTACCTAAAAGTTACCAGAGAAGGAAATGCATTTTGATGGTCACAACAGGTTTATGAGGATAAAACCCATCAAATTGCATTTGTACTGTATATAACATACTGTAACTGCCAGCAAGACCATGTACGTAATGTACATTTAATGAAGTCACAATGTACTAATCTCTAAAAACTTCACAATAAGAACAATTAGTTTTGGAAAGCTGCTTTACAGTACAGTATGTAGCAAGTGCCCTCTTGCAATACCCATGCGTCATCAGAAAGCTGCTTATTCCTTCTTACAATTATTCTTATATTACTGTAAATGTAACTGTGTATTATTAGCAGAAGTGAGATGGTGTTGAAAATGTCATTCTGTAATGTTTTCTGATATATACATGTTTTTCTTTTTGTTGCTCAGGAGTCCTACGTGTGGAAGATGTACCAGGAGAGATGCTGGGACTTCTTCCCTGCAGGAGACTGCTTCCGTAAACAGTATGAAGACCAGCTGGGTTAAAGACAGAAGTATTACCTAGTTGTCAGATGTGTTATCTGAAATCAAAACTGAAACTCCATACAACTTTAAAAGAAAACTTAAAACCAGCTCTACAAATGTACTTGACGTGCATTAAAAAAGATCACTTAAACATGCCTGGCTCTTTTAACTTAAAAAGAGTAGAAACTTAATCAAGACTCTTTTATATTAAGAACTACTACTGCATATGAACATGAATGTTGTCCTGTTACCTACGGTACAGTAAATAGTGCCAATTTTACAAGAAACTGCAACTCCAACCTGCCCAGACATCTTTTTTTTTATTTTTGAATAATTATTTTGTCAACGTGTTGCCTTTTTTCTATATAACCCCAAACCATTGCACAAATTTTGGTCTCTTAAGAAACATTAAGTTCAGTGGGGTTATGGATGAATATACAGTAGATGAATAAGTATGAATCTTTGCCCTTATATGCACAAGAATAAAACTTCAGTATCAACTGAATATTGAACTGAGACTTATGCCAAACATAGGGCTTGTAGATTTAACCTTTAATGCTGGATCTTACCTGCTTGTTGATTTAAATAAAGTTTAAAGGAACTATTACCAGCTAAAAGGTTGAACATGCTATTAAATGCCTACTATGAAGTGTCAAAAAAGTGCCTTACTTAAATAAAGATAAAGCTATGCAAAATGAAGTATGTTCTTTATAGTATGTTAGTGCTCACTTAGTTCTCAAGGATTAGCAAAAAGCATAATTAGGTTAGTTTTGTGGCTTTTGTTTTAATTTGTTAAAAATAAAGTGTGTAAATGCTATTCAGTCCAGTTGGCAGCATCTAAGCTGCAAAACATCACAAAATAATGAAATTGCAACTATCAAATCACATTCAGACTTTATCAAACACCTTAAAAAGTGCTATTGTATGGCCATTTGTATGTAGTAGCTTTGCTAAACTGTGCATTTCTTTTGAGAAAAAAGAATAAAGTACTCAATGCAATAAACATGGTCTCATATTATGCATTTTTTAAAGCATTTTTGTAGTAATTTACTTTTATAATTGAAATTGGTAGCACTTGTGATGGGCTGGCTAGCGTGGTTATCTTGGGCAGCTCAGGACAGGATTGGAAGCTCCTTGAGTGTTCATGTTTTATGTGATGACATTTTCAAATGGGACTTAGCTGTTAATACTTGAAAAAGTCATTTTTTGTTACTTCTTTCCCTCCAAAACCTACTCAAAGAGCATTACTATCTATTGCTAATTTAGACTGTTTTAAATCTGACAGCAGTCTTTTTCCAAGTAGTTAATGTTGCACGAATACTACTTTTTACATAGTAAGTAAACTGTATCATACAAGCTCATAAACATAGCTTGAGCATATTATAGAAAAAAAATGAATTCTGTTTGGCTTCTTAGAGTGTTAAACCACTCTAATAAGGGTAGAGTGGGGAACTGCATCAATCTTCTTGATCCAATGGAATAAACATTTCTAATTTGCTACAAAATAAAAATGAAAAGACACCTTGGCAATGGAGACACTTTTGCTTTCTAATTAATTAATGGTAAATCACTGTTGTCACATACTCGTTTTAGTAGCAGAAAAACAGTGTCTCAAGAAGTGCTTCATTAGTTTCTTTAAACTGAAACTTCTTACAAGAAATTAGAGGAAAGCAAGTAACTGACTTACAATAGGGAAATGGCACAAACAATTAAAAGTTTGATGTGATTCATAAACATTACAAGACTAGAGGTTAAGGCTCCACTATGAATCTAGCTTTTGTATGATTTATCTTTTAGGTTAACATTCAAAGAGAAAATAAGTATCAATTTTTTACTATATAACTTTACCTTTTTCATGCACAGCTAAAACAATTAACACACTGTCTTGGACAGCACGTCAAGAGCAAGACTTCTTTTCATTTAGAAAAGCAGAACACTTTTATAGCCCTTATTTTTCAGTTCTTTGGGATTGTTCAGTCTGAAAGATGTAATGCCCTGTCTCATTTTACAAATGAAATGCAGAAGCTTATCACAGGTCCCACTTTCTTTTTAATAGGCTTCATCAGAAGCAATTCCATTTACAGCTGCTGAGTTCCTGGAGGCATTGTAAACCATTATGGCATGATATTAATGCCACTCATCTTTGCAAGCCTATTTAAGTGGAATTATGAAAGGAGAGTATGGGTGAGGGTGTAGTCAATCATTGATTAATTCAGCAGTTAGTACTTATTGCTTTTGTGTATTGCTTAGGTAGCACTTAAACTGATTTCTTATATTTTGTCTATAGAATATATAATGTAGTGTATACTCACATGCAAGTCATATGCGTACTTCCATATAAAAAAAAACATTTGCCAGAAGGCCAAATGATGAGACCGTGACATATCAGGGATTAAATTGTTATTATCAACAAATATTGTTTCAGACAGATCAAGTTACAGACTGACACAAAAACAGTTGATACAGCTGTGTAAGCTTCTTAAATATGTCATAGAAATGATTACCAAACTGGGTTATTTCTGAATTTCCAGGCAAGTCACTACTCTTCCCAAGTTCAAAACAGAAATTAAATTACACAAATCCCCTTAATGGTCTATTGACATTAATTTAACAGGTACTTTACCTGTTAACCTGTGTTCCAAGTAAACATTTAAGTGCTTGCAGAGGTCAACATGCATTAAGGCAATGCGTTTACAGCTAACCTTAATTTCTTCCTCAATATAATGAGTGAGGAAGGAAATGGAAAATGGAGTTTTATTTTAATGTTTAAAGCTGGCAGGCAGTTTTTGTAACTAAAATAGGAAATACATCCAAGACCTCTGAACCCTGTAGGGACTCAAGAGAAATCAGGAAATCATACTATCTAACCAGTCTTCCAGATCATCTTCTGTGATTTCCTTTTTCAAAACTGTTGCTTCAGGAGAGCGCTCTTGTTCTTCTTTGACTCCATCAGATGCTGCAGGGGAACACATTCATTTATATATATATTTAAACTGTAACAGCCTATTTATTTTGTGTGTCAGGAATGTGGGAGTTCCAGCAGGGAGTGTAAAGCAACACAGAAATTCTCCTTAAAATGGATTTTTAAACCTTCAGATTTGAAGCACCTGCTATCCTTGATGCCTTGACTCTGAAGTGAGACAAACTGCTGTTTTGTTGAATAATTGCAGTCTAGCCTCCAGACAACAGCATGATTACCTTGTTCACCAGACTATAAGGCACTGTCTGCAAGCCCATCAACACTGATGAGTGGGGAGGATTTTATGGTGATTACCCAGAATGATTACTAAAAATGCAGTTCATAATCACTTAGCTACAGCATACAGCAACAGAATCCAGTTCCTAGTTTAATGGCCGATATCATTTTAAAGTGGTCCTTTACAAGCAATCTACATTGCTTGTGATCGGCCCACTTTCAAAGATTTTTTTCACAACATCTGAAACGTACATATTCATTGGCCTCTGTAACAACAATTGATTTGGTGCTACGGACTTCAAGGCCTACAAACTCAGCTGTCTTGATAACTAGAAGAGCTGTGGAACTACATTTCTTCAGGAAACTAAAATCTTATGTCTAACTTCCAATGTGTTTTCTTTAAAGTGGCCTATATTATTTCATGTTTCTTGGTGTACAAACAGAGCTATATCACCAGAAATGCTTTAGTAGGTTCTGAACCAAAAATTGTGTGCAGTACCTCCATCAAATACGGCAAATGTTACGCAGTAAAAATGTGAGACAGCAAAATACTGTCTACATTATATTAAAAATATACACAAGCAAAACTTGTGCATAGGATCACAACAAATACTTACTTATAACTGGGGAAGGTGCTTTCATTTCGTCCTTATTCAGGTCATTAGTTTGTGAAGGAACGCTATCAATAGCAGCTGGAACATGAGGATCTAGACTAAGTAGCAGGTCGAGTTCCTCGTCCAGGTCATCTGCTGGGGGCTGGGCTGCGCTAACAGACATCTGTGGGGCTATGGCTCTCAGAGGCTTCCCATCCACAGACTCAGAGAGGGGTACAGGAGTGTTTGCAGAGGAAGCACACGTGGGTGCTGGCTTTATGGCAGTGGGAACTCCAAACTGACCAGTGAGGCTGAAGTCCTGTTTGTTCTTCATGATTATCACGGGGAGCTCTGCCGGAGCAGATACCTAAAACGAAACAACAACATATTCTCAGAACAGTGGACAAGAGGTCTTAATCCATGTGTTTACAAAAAGAAAACTTCAGGAGAAGAACTATATTAGAATAGTTACAACAGAGATTAAGAAATGGTATGAATAAGAGGAGGCCATTCAGCCAACTGTTTTGTTTTTTTGGCAATTTAGTAACCTCATGAAACTAAAAGAGCATCCAGTTTTTTTCTTTAAAGTGTAACCTCAACTACTTCACTGGGATGCATGTTCCAGATAGCCATATCTCTTTGTGTCAGAAAGGATTTCCTTGTGAATATTGGGGTTTTACTGCATATAACTCAACTTCTTGGGAACAGAAGCGCAGCAGATCATGAGGGATTGAATATCTACAAATGCCACCAATATGTAGCTGCATCTATTGTTCAGATAGCCTCAGTTGTTGGTACTGAATTGTCAATGGATGGCAGCTAATTGAGGCTGCCCTCAGATGTGAACTTCTTGTATGTAATCATCACAGCATGCTGGTACCTGTTTTTCACAAATACAGTTGACAACAAAGTGACATTTACACACTTCAAAGCACATCTAGGATAAAGCAGAGTGAGTGCTTTTCTCTCTGAGCAATCTAAATTTTAGTGCCTTCTGGAATATAACGGTATCAATTACTAGGAGAACAGTATTCTGACCCGCATGCCCTACGGTAGACTGAAATGTTAGGTTTCTCATGAAAAAAAAATTCAATCAGAACACAACAGATTCTATGGGTCTTCACTAAATCTTATATCACCATCAGTGTACCAGCAAAACAATTCAACTTCTAGGAAAGGTAACATGGAGAAATGTAAAGGTTTAAGTATGGAAAAAATAAGCATAGTTTTCATCAAATAAAAAAGATGTTGATCTATTAGTCATATTAACATACAGTATAACTGAAATATATGATGGACAATGGTGGAATGTTAAAAACCCAATTTCAATTATTGACCTTTACCTTTAGGAGATGGGTTACTTACATTAAGACTATTAATCTTATTAATAGAAGGAAATATTGACAGATTGTATTGGAGCACATGGCTTTATTCAAATTTACTGTGAATTAGAGTAAAAAAGAATCTGTTGTTTGATAGAGGATTCTCCATAAGGAACTGAACTCCTGATTGACCAAAATCTATTGGTAAGCTTTGACATAATTAGTAAAGTAATACATCGATTTCAGGATGGATAAAGTGGAGAGATAAAAACAGTACTTGAAAAAAATGTTGCATACCTGGACCAATTCTGCTTCCACATTTAGCCTTACATGAAGAGGAAGAGCTTGAAGTGACTGGGCTAATAACTGCGAGTCCACAAAGAAAGCTGACATCTGCAGTGTAGAGAGGATGGATAAACATGCAATATTGACAGGTAAGTCTTTCCTCCTGTAAAGCACTCTCTCTCTCATAGAGTAGCATCCATACAGGGATGTAAGTTACTGATGCATAAATGTGAAAGATGTATCACAGAATATAAACTGCTAGTCCCAATCATTATTCAAATATGCTGCTGTTCCTTTTACTTAGCATACAATCTATATATTTTGATAGATAGGAAGAAAAGATTGTAAAATGACAGATACTTTCATTCAACCTATATAGGAAATATTTATTACATAAATTGTGCGCATGACTGCAAAAGTGCATTAAAACATTGTTTCCGAGTCAGAAATCAATAGTCTTCCCTTAATCAGTCAAAAAAGTAGCCATACCATACTGATGTGCAAATATGGATGTCTACATAAGTAAACTATGCAGAATTATTTCTTTTTCAAAAGCCACTGTCATATTTTCTTTCCACTTCCAGAAGCAAGCTGTGAAATGAATCCTCCACACACATTAGATTTCCCTGAGCCCCAGAGTCAATCAAAGAAATGCCTTGCAATAAAAAGATGGATATGAGACATTCTAATAAACTGTTTAACTCACTACTGAAGAGGAAACGACAACACTGCAGTTGTTTTTCTTAGCATGAAACATTTCTAAAGGTTTTGATAGAATCTGTGTATAAAAGATTTCAAAATGAAATCAAAGTTTATTTCATACCACTAAGTATCATAGTAATCAAGTAACATATTGTTTCCTTATAATGATCCATAAGTTTATTAACTAACATTCCATGAAAAAAAACACAGCTTTGTATACAGTATATGGCTTTTGATCAAACAAAATGAGTTAATTAACTCAATATAACTTACAGAAAACAATTAATCTTAATTAAGGGGTCATAATTATTTAATACTACAACATGCAACAAGTCCATAAATCTCTTTTGACTTGGATTTAAAAAACACGGATTTAAAGATGTTTTTTAGTGTGCAAAGTGCATTAAAGCAGCAAAGCAGCAGCAGCTGCTACAGTACATATAAAATTATAACATAGTTCTTTCAATAGCACTCTATCACTACTGTATATGAACTCAGAAGACAGTTTTGTAAATTTGTTTCTGGTACCGCTGAAAATCATTAGAGCAGATAGGTTATTACTGCAGACAATTTTATGAGATGCTTCCACTGCATGAGAAGCTGCTGATGAGCAGATTTCTGATATTTTCTGATATGTGTGCATAATAGAAAAAAGGACACAGTGAAAGCAATTTACCTGATTGTTAGCTAAAGCATCAACCTCCCATTCTTTTTCTTCAGAAAATCTAAACTGGGTAAAAGAGTCACCTAAGAAACAGAAAGATGAAAAAAATAATTAAACAGGTATGTACAAAAGAGCTGAACATACAAACAATAGGAAAGTAGTATGAATCCTGTTTTGTGATATGCTCATTTAATCTGAGTCATCTACGTACAACACTGGCAAACAAGGCTTGAATGGTAACCGCATTCGCTCAAGTTCTGAAATGACTTGCTAGAATGTAGCCTAGCCAAAACACAACTGAGACCAACAGTAGAGTTGAACTGGCCAGGTGCAATCCAGTGTAGGTTACTTTGAGTGAGAGAAATTATCCTTAGCATGCTACACTATCATTTTGTTGGCTGGCGTGGAACCTCCCAGTAGCTGTGGAAAACAGGACACACTCAATTGTTCTCAAATAAAGGAAAGCATTTGTTTCCCAAAACGACAGAACCTCTGGACTTTCCCCAACAAGAGAGAAAGGAACAGGATTTCCTCCAAGTAGATCCCTTTGTAGTGTATCATCTTGAAATTTAGATAGGCAAACTACAGATGTTTTTTGAAAACTTAATTAGCACCTTATTTAATTATCCATTAAAATAGAAAATGTTTGAGACCATTGTGAAAGGGGAAAAAAAAAGTTCTCCTGATGGCATGCATGAAGTGCAGCTAGTCCATGCAGCCCAACAGAGTATTTAAAGAATAAGTAAAGAATTAACTTGCAAAGATTTAGCCCTTCATGACATTACAACATCTAAAAGGTTTACATGTCTGTGAAGAACTGTGTTCAGCACTGTGCTATCTGATAGCCCTTTCAATTATAGAGAAACAGCAGGGAGATTTCTTTTCCATTCAAATTACTTGCATGAACTTTGTTTGCAATGAGATACCACCATTTTTATTAATATGCTGAAAAAAGTAAATGGATTCATAAAGGTCAATTAATTAAATGGAAAGATTAAAACATTTTAGGACAGACTGCAAACCTCAGCAGATAATTACAGTAGAAAGCACAATGGTTTTTTAAATGAGGCCTTAACTCTTTTGTATCCAGACTGGAATATCATTTTTTTCCTGCTGTAATGTAATGTTTCCTGATAAACAGGCATATTTTAACTGGCAATCCATTGCAACAAACACTCCATAATGCTTTAAGAACTGCCCAAGCCTCACTGGTCATAGTATTACAGCATAGCTCAGTGCTGTTTAATTGCTTCACTTATAGGTAGAAAATATGTTTTAATAAAAATTAACAGCAACCGCACTTTCAACTGTGTACTTTATATAGATATAAACTTTATTTTTTGTGTCAAACTTTAATATTTGATGAGCCGCATAGCACATAGGCAGATCACTGGACACTCCACTCCAAGCTCTTTACAGGTAATAGGGACACCCCCTCCACCACCACCAATGTGCATCCACACCTGGATGATGCAACCACAGCCATAATGCACCAGTATGCTCACCACCCACCAGCTATCAGCGTGGAAGAGAACAGTGATGAAGTCAATTCATAGATGGGGATTATTAGGAGGCCATTATTAGTAAAGGCCAATGGGAATTTTGGCCAGGACACCAGGGTAACACCCCTACTGTTTTCGAGAAACACCCTGGGATTTTAATGACCACAGAGTCAGAACCTTGATTTTACATCTCATCCGATTGAATGCACATCCAGGTACTGGCAAGGCTCATACCTGCTAAGCTTCAGTTGCAAGTTGCAGAGTGATATATATAGATCATGAATAGAAATGCTGGACAGATTTGGCTGCCTATAATTATGGATAACATGGCTACAGATTGTTGAGGTGTGTTTGACAGGAGCTTCTGTGACCAAGACAGATCAGCTTGCTGATGTTTCATGAGCAAAGATGTCTAATGTGATGTCAGTATAGAAGTCTGAGAGAAAGATATCATCAGTAAAGGATAAACTCTGAAGGGTTCGGTGGAAGCACATACTCCAAAATTGTGATATTGTGCATTAATTCAAAGTGAGGACAAAACAGGAGAGCAACTCCTGATTAATTGACTGCAAATTTCAGTGCGGCACAAGCAGCTACTTTAATCAAAAATGGACTGCTGTGAACTCCACAGAGCGTGATGCCATACTGTAGTTGAAGTGCACAAACCACTCATCACACTTGGCAATGCACATTTTCAAGTTCACTGGTGCAAAGACCAAGAGTAATGAACTACTGATTAGAGAAGAGATGTGATGTGGTCAGATGAGTCATGCTATACCATGTTCTTGACAAACAGATGAGCACATACGAGGCACCAACCTTAACTTTTCAACCTTAAGTGCTTCATTGCAACCACTTGGTGAAGGGTTCTGTTGGATCTGTAATGTTGTAGGACTCTCCCAAAGCAGCTGCATTACCTACATTCCTACCGTTGCTTAATCTCCTGGATGTTAATTAAATCTATTATAAGTTTTTAAGCTGTGATGTTCATACATGAAAGACCATGGAAATAATGAACTGACACTCAACACCTCCTTGAAGCGATCTTTGTGTTCTCTCCAGGTAGCCAATATAATCTCTCAACTGCATCACCTGAACTTTACAACTGCAGCTCTTCAATGTCCACTTTACACCTCTCAATTCATATATGATGTGAATGATAATGAATGTCTGAAGCTAAGAATGGACATAATAATAATAAAACCATAATGAATCTACAGGAATGGCCTTTTATAGGCACTATAAATACATTTGTTTATATGTTCCATGTCAAGGAAACAAATTGACCTGGGGAAACTGGGAACAAAATTGGAAAACAAAGCTGAGGTCAGGAATCCAAGAAAGACATCCATAGGGAAATGGGACGAAGGCAAGGACAAAACTAGAGAAATTAAGGAATAAAACTCAAAGTGCTCAGAGTAAAAATTCAATCACAGAGCCCTGAGCTCTTTCGGGTCTGAGTATTTATGTTGAAAGGCACCTGGAACGGGTATAGTCGAAAAACCATCTCCAGGTGATTGGTTTCTACAGCAACCAGTGCAGGAAGATTTGATGACGGTAGAGTAACTGGCTGCTGTGTCACAGTTAGCTCTCCTTCCTTCAAGAAACAGTTGGATGAGTCAGATCAATCAGATATCATCTACCCTGTCGGCAGGAGTACAAAAGACCTTCTGCTGCCCACAATGGATTCACTAACCTTGTTTGAAAGTCAAAGCACAGTCTTACCATAAATACAATTCTGCCATTTTAAAGTCACCAAGTAAGGGAGGCATTTATTTTGGTAGATGTCAGAAAGGTAGTTTCAGTAACATTAAGTAATTTTGTACCTTCCGGATCTAAAATCTGGCTTTGATGGATACTGTTTTGAAGAAGCAAATAATTAGCCCTCATCCATGTGAAAAGTGAAAGCAACAATACAGAACATTTCTAGAAAAAATGGTGTGAACATCTTACTTAAAACAAAGATCCAATCCTCACTCAAGAAGTATATAATTTGCACATACCTTAGAGTTATTTTATTTCTTTATTGTTTGGCAGGTATGCATTCTTTCTTTTTTGTTTGGTTTAGTCCCTACATTGTGATGGGGATAAAATACATATGTATTTGTCTTTGACCTCTCAATTTCTAAACAGATGAACAAAGTGTGACATTGTATGTTTAACATATTATCTTGTACAATGTTATTAGATGTTGTAATCATTTTTATTATTACAATCATTTTATGACAATGGGAACAATCCATATCTGCCTTCACTACAAACCTCAAATAGAATGCTCTGCACTACAAAACCACTTTGTGCTTCAGTATCAAACAAGTAAATAACAGAATAAAGATCAGAACTGATTAATAAGGTAAATTATTTAAAATCTTAATGTGAATCTGCCATAAGAAGGCATGCCCAAGCATGTTTATAATTTCCCCATTTAGACCGAGTTCAATATTTGTAGGGACTCATGTTCTATTTGTGAAGCAGTAGCAGCAAAGGACAGGCGAAGAAAGACTCTAGGTTGTATGACATACAGGCCTGTCATGTGCAGCTGGTAACCATTGCTGGAGCTCTGTCTGTCCCCCATGCAAAAAGAACAAGGTACATCATGGGTCTCCACTTGCTGCCATTCACAGCCACTCCATGCAGGCTCCTTTTATTTCAACATCAAATTGAATCCTAGAGTAAGCCTCCAGTTTGTGTTGAGCTTTTAATTATACTACCCCACAGGGGCAGGGACATCTGACCAGATGGATTACAGCTCTTCTAGTTTGTCTTTTCTTTCTCCTTGTGCACACTCTCATCACCCATACACACTCCAGCTTGTGTATGTTGTGAATGGGGTTTCATTTGTGGCAGGGAACACAGAAACATGTAAAAATAAAAGGAAAAGTATTCTTACATTGTCAGGTTGTAATGCTTCCCTGAATTTCCCTTCCCAAATTAAATGTCCCTGTCATCAGCAAATTATCTTTTTTTGTAGGTCTAATTATGAAGAAATAAGCCATTTTATCAACTCGCCTCCCGGGGCTTTCGGAAATTTCCTTGCACTCTGTAGCATGTCTTTCCTGACTGGACAGGGACATAAATTGATACAGATTGTGTTTGTTTAGTGTTTTAATTACAAGACAGATTGTGTTTTTTCTTAGAGCAACACACTCTAAGAAGCACCTGTATCTCGTAAAGGAAAGAAACTAATTTCATATAATCACATTTTCTTGATAAAATATGCATATTATAAATACACCAGCTGCAAAAGGTGAAAATTGTAATAAAAGAAAAAAAAGATCTGCAGTATTTTGTTAACTTGTCTGCAGCTGTGACATTTTACATTGCTATTATGCACAAAACCATCCAATCCAATACCAATTATATCTTATAGCATATACAGAACTACCATACTAGCACTAGTAGGATACATTTCTTTATCTAAATTGAAAAAAAAAACTAGTCAGATTCACCTGCCAGTCCAGTGCAGAATGTACAGTAACATAAAATAAATGCTGCTAAAGTGTAAGTGATGCATTTGTAATTCTACGCAAGACGCACAAGTAGATCCTACACACTGAAATGGAACCAACCCAATAAGTGGT